CATTTTCATGGTTCATTGGTCAATGTTAAGTTTTCTTGGTTAAGACTGTTTCTTAGAAATTATAAGCAATAGGTCAACTATGTTTGGTTTATTAAATGATTGTAAGGTGTACATGTATTTCTCGTTTGGTTTATCTGACCTTGACCTCATTTTCTTGGATCATGTTAAGTTTATGTGTTACTTATAGTAAAGCTTTATATTTAGGACTATCAACATAAAATCAATGGTTAGTAAAGAAGGCGAGACATTTCAGCATATGCACTCTTGTATACTATTGGGTCTGTCATTTGGTTGTACTAAATTCATTCCAATAAAACCTTGGAGAAATACATTTATGTAAGGATCATAACAGCAAGGTACTCTCCGATGTTTAAATCACCCAGGGATTTCGTACTGAATCGTGTCTCTTGTAAGCCAGAATCTTTAATTGGGTGTCTCAGGTTTTAAAATGATTTATGTTACGTAAATACTTCTTCTTTGATGTTATTTCTTTGAATTTTCATTACTTCAGCATTGTATTGATTAAATAATCATCCTAGCATATTGTGTTATAACGCGATCACAAAATGCAGACTTATTAGTATAAAAAAAATACATGATTTCCCATGAGCAGTAACACATTTTCTTTGCTAGTTATAAATTGAATGTCATTACTGACAAATTACATGTCTTTCATTGCATCAGTGAAAGGTCACATGACAGTTGAAATTAATGATTTAAATAATTAGTGGCTATTAGAGATTAATTTTGGATCAGCCAATATTATAAATGTTAAAAGTAAAACCAATAAAAAAAGTGTAATAGTTAAAGTACAATAAAAAACGTAAAATGTACTCCCCTTTATATGAAGCACTGATTTTTTCTCAAATTCATTTCAGAACTTTAAACTTTGTATTGATGTTGGCTTTTATTTTCTAAATGTTTTATGAAATAAGGATTATCAAAGAATTTAACATTGAACATGTTTCACTTGATAGTTAATCTTGCTTATGTTTTATTTTGATATATGACTATGTTGTTTGTTTAAACAAGGTATTGAAAAACATATGGTGTTTTCTTTAGTTAGAGAGCAGAAGTTTTCTATGTTTCTTGGTTCTCTATGATGTAGTTGTATTTATAGTTAAACTTTAATAATATTTCAAGTAATTGAGATATGAGACATGGTTTCTTTCTAATCATATTTCTTAATAAAAGATAAGAGGGTTATCTAGTAGAGAATTCTTAGAATTTACCATTGCATGCCTAGTATGCTATAAGGATGATGACTCCATTTATGTGATGGAAAATTACAGTAAAACTTTGCACTGAAGAAAGACCTGAAGAATAAAATTTGAAAAAAATATTTAGATTAAAGAAGGCATAAGATGCATATCAATAAGACAGCAACCCCAAAACAATTTGTATTTGAGAAATGATGGTCATTGTATGGTATTCAGATTTCATTTATAAATTTGGTTGAATTATTTAAGTTTTTCATGGTGATACAATAGTGTACTAATGTTTCAAGCTTCATATAAGATAAGACCTAGTCTTACTAAAGTAGTTATCTGCATCACAGATACTGTATAGCAATTCAGTATATTCTGCATGTTATGGTATAGCCATTTCCAGTTATACAGTATGTTATTGTATAGTCATTTACAGTTATACTGTATGTTATTGTATAGCCAACAGTAATACTGTATGTTATTGTATAGTCATTTACAGTTATACTGTATGTTATTGTATAGCCAACAGTAATACTGTATGTTATTGTATAGCCAACAGTAATACTGTATGTTATTGTATAGTCATTTACAGTTATACTGTATGTTATTGTATAGTCATTTACAGTTATACTGTATGTTATTGTATAGTCATTTACAGTTATACTGTATGTTATGGTATAGCCAACAGAAATACTGTATGTTATGATATAGCCATTACATGTATACTGTATGCTATGGTATAGCCATTTATAATTATACTGAATGTTATGTTGTATCCAACAGTTATACTGTATGTTATGGTATAGCCATTTATAGTTATACTGTATAGCCATTTAGGAGATAACTGTGTTGTATTTTAAGCTCTGACAGCATCAGTTGGTGATTTCATGGTCGCAAATTAAGTTTACTAGCGACGTGTTAGCATGATTGCGACCATCAAATCACCAATTGATGCCATCGGAGCTTGAAATACAATATTGTAATCTCCATATTAATGAAACTGACAGAAAACAATGTCAAATCATACATTTAAAACCTGTCATACATCGTCTGCACTTGCGTGTACATTTTCATAGCATCAGTTGTGAATTGATGCCATGAAAAGTGGTGATGATGTTGCATTGGATTATAATAATACTGTATGTTATGGTATAGCCATTTATATTTATTCTGTATGTTATGGTATAGCCATTTATACTTACACTGTATTGTATGGTATAGCCATTTATACTTACACTGTATTGTATGGTATAGCCTTTTATACTTATACTGTATGTTATGAGTTAGCCATTTATATTTATTCTGTATTGTTATGGTATACCCATTAATAGTTATACTGTATTGTATGGTATGGTATAGCCATTTATAGTTATACTGTATGTTTTGGTATAGCCATTTACAGTTTCACTGTATTGTATGGTATAGCCATTTACAGTTTAACTGTATTGTATGGTATAGCCATTTACAGTAATACTGTATGTTATTGTATAGTCATTTACAGTTATACTGTATGTTATGGTATAGCCATTTATAGTTATACTGTATGTTATGGTATAGCCATTTATTGTTATACTGTATGTTTTGGTATAGCCATTTACAGTTTCACTGTATTGTATGGTATAGCCATTTACAGTAATACTGTATGTTATTGTATAGTCATTTACAGTTATACTGTATGTTATTGTATAGTCATTTACAGTTATACTGTATGTTATGGTATAGTCATTTTACAGTTATACTGTAAGTTATTGTATAGTCATTTACAGTTATACTGTATGTTATGGTATAGTCATTTTACAGTTATACTGTAAGTTATTGTATAGTCATTTACAGTTATACTGTATGTTATGGTATAGTCATTTACAGTTATACTGTATGTTATTGTATAGCCAACAGTAATACTGTATGTTATTGTATAGCCAACAGTAATACTGTATGTTATTGTATAGTCATTTACAGTTATACTGTATGTTATTGTATAGTCATTTACAGTTATACTGTATGTTATTGTATAGTCATTTACAGTTATACTGTATGTTATGGTATAGCCAACAGAAATACTGTATGTTATGATATAGCCATTACATGTATACTGTATGCTATGGTATAGCCATTTATAATTATACTGAATGTTATGTTGTATCCAACAGTTATACTGTATGTTATGGTATAGCCATTTATAGTTATACTGTATAGCCATTTAGGAGATAACTGTGTTGTATTTTAAGCTCTGACAGCATCAGTTGGTGATTTCATGGTCGCAAATTAAGTTTACTAGCGACGTGTTAGCATGATTGCGACCATCAAATCACCAATTGATGCCATCGGAGCTTGAAATACAATATTGTAATCTCCATATTAATGAAACTGACAGAAAACAATGTCAAATCATACATTTAAAACCTGTCATACATCGTCTGCACTTGCGTGTACATTTTCATAGCATCAGTTGTGAATTGATGCCATGAAAAGTGGTGATGATGTTGCATTGGATTATAATAATACTGTATGTTATGGTATAGCCATTTATATTTATTCTGTATGTTATGGTATAGCCATTTATACTTACACTGTATTGTATGGTATAGCCATTTATACTTACACTGTATTGTATGGTATAGCCTTTTATACTTATACTGTATGTTATGAGTTAGCCATTTATATTTATTCTGTATTGTTATGGTATACCCATTAATAGTTATGCTGTATTGTATGGTATGGTATAGCCATTTATAGTTATACTGTATGTTTTGGTATAGCCATTTACAGTTTCACTGTATTGTATGGTATAGCCATTTACAGTTTAACTGTATTGTATGGTATAGCCATTTACAGTAATACTGTATGTTATTGTATAGTCATTTACAGTTATACTGTATGTTATGGTATAGCCATTTATAGTTATACTGTATGTTATGGTATAGCCATTTATTGTTATACTGTATGTTTTGGTATAGCCATTTACAGTTTCACTGTATTGTATGGTATAGCCATTTACAGTAATACTGTATGTTATTGTATAGTCATTTACAGTTATACTGTATGTTATTGTATAGTCATTTACAGTTATACTGTATGTTATGGTATAGTCATTTTACAGTTATACTGTAAGTTATTGTATAGTCATTTACAGTTATACTGTATGTTATGGTATAGTCATTTTACAGTTATACTGTAAGTTATTGTATAGTCATTTACAGTTATACTGTATGTTATGGTATAGTCATTTACAGTTATACTGTATGTTATTGTATAGTCATTTACAGTAATACTGTATGTTATGGTATAGTCATTTTACAGTTATACTGTATGTTATTGTATAGTCATTTACAGTTAGACTGTATGTTATGGTATAGTCATTTACAGTTATACTGTATGTTATTGTATAGTCATTTACAGTTATACTGTATGTTATGGTATAGCCATTTACAGTTATACTGTATGTTATGGTATAGCCAACAGTAATACTGTATGTTATTGTATAGTCATTTACAGTTATACTGTATGTTATGGTATAGTCATTTACAGTTATACTGTATGTTATTGTATAGTCATTTACAGTTAGTATGTTATGGTAAAACCAGTTTTGGCAGAATCACGCAAGAATCATCAATCAATTTAGTCATATAGTTTTTATTGTTTCTGAATTATATGGGCACCAACACGCACGACGCTTTCAGGTCACTTTATGCATGAGAGATTTTTAGATAAGGAGATCTAAGAGGACGAAACGTAAAAAGTTTGATATGAGTAAAATATAATTAGAGAATATATATGGCGCTTTTATTTCAGACTTGCCACCTCCATACCCATCTGTAGTATCCAAACCACCTCATGGCTTACGGCAGGAGGACAGAAAAATGTCTGCTCCAGTGTTTGGTACAAAAGAATATCAGAATGCTAGAGATAGACAGAATGAGAATAGGTTATCTCGATGTGATGAAGTAGAAAATATCCCAACTGTCGTACAGGAGGAACCAGAAATGGAGGAGGACTTCCATTGCCATGTAAATAGGTAAGTAGTCTTATGTGTTCAGGCTATGAGGCTTTACGTGATAGTGACTTCCTTTGTTATAACTTTCGTACAGGAAGAACCAAAAATGGAGGAGGACTTCCATTGCCATGTAAATAGGTTAGTAGTCTAAGGGGTACAGGCTATGAGACTTTACTTGATAGTGACTTCCTTTGTCATATCTGTCGTACAGGAAGAACCAGAAATGGAGGACTTCCATTGTCATGTAAATAGGCTAGGATGAAAAATTTTGTCCTGCATTTTTTTTCAGTTGTAATCTCTGTTCTGCCTTTTTATTTTTCACTCTATTCGGTCCTGCATTTTTTTTTTTATTAGTTTATCCTGACTTTTTTTACATAAATTGTCATCCTGCCTTTTTATACGCCCGTTTACGGAACGTATTATGGTATACCATTGTCCGTCCGTCGTCAACATGTCCGACATTAACTCAAAAACGCTTTAACCAATTTGCATAAAACTTTGGTGAATTGTTTATATCTATTGACGTGAGCTCCCTTTCGTTTTTTATAAATTTTGGATTTTACTTTTAACTAGTTATGGGGTTTTATTCATTAAAAAAAGGGGGATTTTCCAGTTTTCAGACAATAACTCAAGAATGCTTTCACCAACTTGCAAGAAATTGTGGTGAATTGTTTATATCTATCGACATGAGCTCCCTTTCGATTTTTATAAATTTTAGATTTTACCTTTCCGAGTTGCAGGGTTTTATTCATAAAAAAAGGGGGATTTTCCAGTTTTTGGACAAAAACTCGAAAATGCTTTCAGCAGTTCTTATGAATCTTTGGTGAATTGTTTATATCTATTGATGTAAGCTCCCTTTAGAATTTTATAAATTTTACATTTTACATTTCTGAGTTATGGGGTTTTATTCATTAAAAAAGGGGGGATTTTCCAGTTTTCTGACAATAACTCAAAAATGCTGTCAGCAATTCTCATGAAACTTTGGTAAATTGTTTATATCTATTGATGTATTTTAGCTCCCTTTTGATTTTCATTAATTTCTAATATGACATTGAGAATTAATTGAACTTTATTTGTTTATAGTCTGAAAACAGATTTACTAAGTATTGTGCAACAGCACAGTGTATTACACAACAGCAAGAAATCTTTAATTGAATATAAATTCAATTCATATAACCAATTTCAAGTTCTTTGACTAGATTTATTCAGAAACCTATAATATGTCAAATACTTAATTACAATCCAAATTCAGACCTGTATCAAGCTTGAATATTGGGTCCATTTTTGTCCCAACTGTTCAGGGTTGGACCTCTGTGGGTGTATCCAGCTGCGCTCAGCGAAGCAGTTTATTTTTTTTGCCAAGTTGATCATCCTGCCTTTTTAGCTCACCGGGGCCCCTTCGGGCCCCATGTGAGTTTATGCCATCACTTGGCGTCCGTCATCTGTCGTCGTCATCTGTCGTCGTAAACTATTTCAAAAATCTTCTCCTCTGAAACTACTGGGCCAAATACCTCCAAACTTTAACTAAATGTTCCTTAGGGTATCTAGTTTATAAATTGTATCCGTAGTTTTGATCCATCGACAAACATGGCCGCCATGGCTAAAAATAGAACATAGGGGTCAAATGCAGTTTTTTGCTTATATCTCAAAAACTAAAGCTTTTAGAGCAAATCTGACAATGAGTAAAATTGTTCAATTGGTCAAGATCTATCAGCCCTGAAATTTTCAGACAAATCGAACAACCCATTGTTGGGTTGCAGCCACTAAATTGGTAGTTTTGAGGAAATTTTGCAGTTTTTTGTTAATATCTTGAATATTATTATAGATAGATATAAACTGTAAACAGCAATAATGTTCAGCAAAGTAAGATCTACAGAGAAGTTGAATGACCAAATTTGTCAATTGACCCCTTAAGGAGTTATTGCCCTTTAAAGACAATTTTACACAATTTGTTCATCAAGTTTGCTAACATTTAAAAATCTTCTGAAATACAGGTGAGCGATTCAGGCTCTTGAGAGCCTCTTGTTTAAATTTCATCCTAGCCCCCCATAAAAATCAAATGGTAGCTCCCTTATGAGGCTGTGATATTGATATCCATTATCATGTTAATATGTTAGTCATTGTAATCATGACAATGGGTCAATGTGTGAATCATCAATATTCAAAAAGAGAGAACTTGAAATATTGGAAATTGTGTTTTGTTTTAGTAAGAGTAGTGTTAAAAAGTAAGAATTGGTTGTCATTGTATAAAAGATAGCGAAATTCCCCACAGTTATACAGAAAAACAAGAAATAAAGTCTGCCTTCTTGCACTGTACAGGAACTCACTCAGATCAGACTTTGTTAAGTTGAATGAAGAGAAATTTACATTGTATTTGAAGCTGGCCTATGTAAAACATGGATTTTGCTTTCACAAATTGAGTTAACCTAGCAAGTATAGTGGGGCTAGGGAAACATATATTTGCGACAACTAATCTAGTTTTACTTATGCCAAGTTCCAAATACAATAATATTATCTATTTTCTAATGATATAATTTTAATAATTTTTGTCGAGCCTGCGACTTTTGTCGCAGAAAGCTCGACATAGGGATAGTGATCCGGCGGCGGAAGGTCTGGATGCTTCATACTGTGTATATGGATGCCACATGTTACGAAGTTTCCGTCAGTCACATGTCCAATGTCCTTGACCTCATTTTCATGGTTCAGTGACTACTTGAAAAAAAAGTTAAGATTTTTTGTAATGTTAGATTCTCTCTTATTATAAGTAATAGGATAACTATATTTGGTATGTGCGTACCTTGCAAGGTCCTCATGCCCGTCAGACAGTTTTCACTTGACCTCGACCTCATTTCATGGATCAGTGAACAAGGTTAAGTTTTGGTGGTCAAGTCCATATCTCAGATACTTTAAGCAATAGGTCTAGTATATTCGGTGTATGGAAGGACTGTAAGGTGTACATGTCCAACTGGCAGGTGTCATCTGACCTTGACCTCATTTTCATGGTTCAGTGGTTATAGTTAAGTTTTTGTGTTTTGGTCTGTTTTTCTTATACTGTATGCCATAGGTCTACTATATTTGGTGTATGGAATGATTGTAAGGTGAACATGTCTAGCGGGCAGGTGTCATCTGACCTTGACCTCAGTTTCAAGGTTCAGTGGTCAAAGTTAAGTTTTTGAGTTTTGGTCTTTTTTTCTAATACTATATGCAATAGTTCAACTATATTTGGTATGTGCGTACCTTGCAAGGTCCTCATGCCCGTCAGACAGTTTTCACTTGACCTCGACCTCATTTCATGGATCAGTGAACAAGGTTAAGTTTTGGTGGTCAAGTCCATATCTCAGATACTATAAGCAATAGGTCTAGTATATTCGGTATATGGAAGGACTGTAAGGTGTACATGTCCAACTGGCAGGTGTCATCTGACCTTGACCTCATTTTCATGGTTCAGTGGTTATAGTTAAGTTTTTGTGTTTTGGTCTGTTTTTCTTATACTGTATGCCATAGGTCTACTATATTTGGTGTATGGAATGATTGTAAGGTGTACATGTCAAGCGGGCAGGTGTCATCTGACCTTGACCTCATTTTCATGGTTCAGTGGTCAAAGTTAAGTTTTTTGAGTTTTGGTCTTTTTTTCTAATACTATATGCAATAGTTCAACTATATTTGGTGTATGGAAATATTTTATGATCTATTTGGCAGTCACGCAGGTTTTATTTGACCTTGACCTCATTTTCAAGGTTCATTGCTCAGTGTTAAGTTTTTGTGTTTTGGTCTGTTTTTCTTAAACTATAAGCAATAGGTCAACTATATTTGTTGTATGGAAGAATTGTTAGCTGTACATGCCTGCCTAGCATGGTTCATCTGACCTTGACCTCATTTTCATGGTTCATTGGTCAATGTTAAGGTTACTTGGTTAATGTTAAGTTTATGTGACAGTTGAAATAAAAGCTTTATATTTAGGACTATCAACATAATATCAATGATTAGTAAAGAAGGCGAGACATTTCAGCGTGTGCACTCTTTTTCTTTTTTGGCGACGTCACTTCCAGACTTTATCACTACTTTTGAGAAAGAAAAAAACATAGTGCATTGAGCACATCATTTCATACATCCTATCTGTGAGCATTTCAAGAATTTATAAATGAAATATTTACTCAGATATTCAAGTTACTTGTACAACCATAAAATTACATAAAATTGTGGATGGTGCATGCATCGGTTATCTGTTCTAAAAATATCAATGATGTCCTTGTAAAATATGAAAACAACACATTATAAATGTCATGTTTCTGAAGCCTTCATAAGGAATGCTCAAATCCGAATATTTGAAAGCCAAGGATGTATAAGAACTGAAACAGTTGAAGAGCTATGTGATCAAATAGGACATAAAAATATTAGCCAAAACCATCTAAGGTCAACTGAGGGAGTTAACTTCAGTTCATATTTATAAACTGACAATTTTAGAAAGGTTTGTTATAAATTGATGTCAGTACTTCAGACTGAGCTGATGTTAAAGTGATATTTGAAATTGGAGTTATCTTTCTTTGTCCATAATTGTAGTTGAACCAACTACAAGAAGATATTTCCAATTCATAGTATTGCCCCCAATGCTTTTAAATACAATGCAATTTTTAAATTTTAGTTCATTTGCAAAATTAATGTAATCTTAACCCTTATGTACCCATAAGCACTTTGATTTGTTTATTAGTGAAGAAATCATATGTGTTTTATATCAAAGAATCCCTTATTACAGACAGCTAGACTGAGAGTTTTACACTGGTCATCATCCAATCAGAACCATTGATTCATTAGAATATTGAAATGTACAGTACAATGATTTACTGCAAATGTTGTGAATATAAAGTCATGATTTGAATGGGTTAACTCAATTCAAGATTTGAACATAAAAGAAATACATATGTATAATTGTCATTTATGTATTCAGTTGCTCATTAAGTTCATGTTCATATAACGTATTTACAACAGTTAGATATAATCAGTGATTGCATGTTGTAGAACTGTAAGTCAAAATGATAACGCTATGATGGAAAGGGATGAATCTCCACCTCCTCCCCCACCACCTCCTTTGGATGATGACATTCCCTTTACTCCACCCTGCTACAGGTCCACTCCACAACGAGACATTGATCATGGTACATCGATATTGTCAGAGCATGAAGGACCAAGAAGTAATGTCAGTGTCTTATCATCATCTAGGACTGAGGACTCTGAGGATGATCATAGAAAAAAGGCAAAGGTATTTTCTTATGAGGAATGAAATGAATTTTTATTTTTATTTGTTTGTCATTTATATACATACTTGCTATATGTTAGAATTAAGAAATAATTTATGGGGGCATGAATTTATACTGATTTTACCATGGACTGGCCCTTTATGCCAAATTATTTTATTACAAGCGATAGCGATAGAAAGATTGAATTTCTCCAATTCTTTTGGATCGAGGTGCTCTAGGTGAAGGCAAATATTTGCCATTCCCGTAAATAAACACCCTTATATATTGACGTAAAAGAACGGAGCAAACTGCACTGTAGTGACATGCTTAAAATATTTACAATTATGTATTTAGATAGGTTTGGATGAATTGAAATGATAATTTTACTTATATGTAAAAAACTTGGCTTATAACTTATTTTATCATCGTTTGTTTATGTTTCCTTGTTTTGATGACTTTCGGTTTCACCACCGTGCATTTTCCCGTAACGTGCTAATATTCTTACGTCTCATTCATAAAAAAGCATATGACGTGGGAGCATGATTGGAACAGCCCAAGCAATATATTCATATTTTACTACTGGTGTGTACTCAAAGCGTTTGAAGAACGTCATATTAGAATATGAATTATTTCATGCAAAGTGATGAATTTGATATCTATACATATGAACCTAACCTTAATAGAATGTGATTACTGAACGACCAAAATAGAATGTTACAAGACTGTGTATATCATAACATTACCTCCCCTGTTACTACAGACTATAATAACATTACATCTCCATTGTGGATGTTAGCAGTTTTCTATCATTCCATGAGTGAGGACCTGGATGGGGTTTACAGAATAGAAAATCACGGGCCAATGCTACAGGAAAAATGGGCAAAAAAAATAGCGAGAAAAAAGAATGGGCTAGAAGTACCAAGAATAGAGAAAAACTACTGAGAAAATTAAAGAATACAGAAAAAAGGGACCCCTCCCATCCAGACCCTCAGGAGTATCTTTGTGAGAAGTGAAACCTGTAGGAATTTATAATGTAATGTTTTGTTGTTTGACATATTGTGAAAATCTTCTGAAGTGCATAAAAAAACAGTACCAAATCATTTGAAATTTTGGAATAATGTTATGGACCAGGGTTCAGAAAGGGTGGGGTTGAGTTTCTGAAACACTAGTTTAACCTTCACATCAATTTAATGTGTCTGTCAAACGTCAGGATTTTTGTCAGTGGATATCATTAAATCGTGTGTACATTCTCTATTTCAGAGGCATCTTGTAGATAGAGCTTATTATATTGCCAAAGAACTGTTAATGACGGAGAGAACATATAAAAAAGACTTGGAGGTTATCACAGTTGTAAGTAAAAGCCTTGCTGAATACAATTTAGACTGAAATAATACATCATTCTCTGTAAGATATTTCTTGTCCTTACAAACTTACACTAAATTGTCTCTAGTTGTTTAAGAAATATTTCTTTCATACCATGGTCTATACTCATTTTAACATTGGTAGGCATTATATTTGTCAATTTTTTTATACAGAGCATTTGCTAGGTATGAAATATTGACAAATATAATGGCTGCCCAATTAAAAACTGAGTATACAACACGGCATGATAAAATTATTTCAATTCTAAAAGGAAAATTCAGAAATTTTGTACTTGAAAGCTGACCTATAAAACACATTCAAAAGGCAGCCCCTTTTAAGGGCCACTTTTGGGCTATTTCGTGGCGGCCAGTTTTTATTGGTGGTTGAAGCCAGAGTGCTACAGACCTTCGATAGGAAAACTGACAATCCCAGTCAATTAAGATTGGAGTCGAGTGCACCCGCATGAGCGGGGTTCGAACTCACAACCTCAGTGTTGACTGGCTAGTGATTATAGTAGTAGAACTACTTAGACCACTTGGCCACCAAGGCCCCCAAACAAATATAAGGCATACATATAGGAAGAGGTCGAACTGTATTTAGGTTTTAACTTTTTTTGATTATATATACCTAATTTGTTTTTCAACAGTGGTTCAGGAATGCTGCCTCCAATGAAGAGACAATACCAGATTGCTTAATTACATTGTTTTCATCGCTGGTTCCTATCTATGAATTCCATTGTGATTTTCTCAAAGAGTTAGACCAGAGATTGTCAATGTGGTGAGTATAGTTTTAATCTAGTAAATAATTAAAAAATTTGTGTCATGGAAGATAGAAACAATATAGAATTATGATTCCGCAATACATTTTTTGTTAAAAAATATGAGTAACTTCACTGTTTTAATGCTAGTCTAAATAACTTGTCCTGATATAAAAATAAGGAGATGTGGTATGTAGCGAAAAAAAAAAAAAAGGCCTCGACATGAAAAATATGAAACAATTCAATTGAGAAATATAACTGCCTAATTTATAACAAAACAATTTATGAAAAACAAATATGACAGACATGAACCAACGAATAAGAATATGAATAAGATGATATGTGGGGTATATACCAACGAGAGAACAACAAAAAAAATTTAAAAAAACATGTTAAAGTCAACATACTGTAACAAAAGATGAGTATAATAAACTTGAAAACTATTTGATGTGTATACTGTGTAGTCATCAATTTTTCATCCAACAGTTTTAATACTCCCTTTGTATTCTTGTGATAGTGTATGTGACCTGGTCAGGTTAAAAAAAACAACTTTAAAATAGATTTTTGTCATTTCTCCATTAAGTAGAAAGCTTTTAGGAGTAAGATTAAAGACTAGGCAGAATAATGTGTCTTGGTAGGGTGACATTTTTACTAGCTGACTGTTATGGGTTGAGCTAGCAGTTAAAAATTCCACTCATTGTATCAGTAGGAAAATGCAGGGTATTTTTATACATCAGCAAGTCATCATCTTGAACATGCATGAAATCCCTCCATCATCCAAAAACTGTTGAAACATTGTACAAAAATGAATGCACTAGGAGAGCTTACCCTATTCAATTTGTTTTGAATAAAATACAGCTTAAACTGAAATTAAACAAAACTAAGAAAGTGTTCAGTTCCATAAAAAACATTTTTATGTTGCATTTTGTGTTGATTATTACAATAGAGGACACAGACAAATGAATTAATTAGAAATGATTTATAGTACCAACAGTTTGATGAAGTTTTGTCACAGATAAGCCTTATTGTGTTTTATTGATCTTTCTTTGGATAGGCCTTCTGGCCAAAAGTAAATACCTTTATGCTCAGAAAAATTTTGTTTGCTCAGATAGCCTACCCACTTTCAATATTTCCAAAAATCACATGTTTTCATAGAATCCTAATATAATGAATTTATCAGATTTTTCATTAAAACCATTAGTGACCTTCCTGAAAATATGATATTTTTGTCAAATGAATCTGGCTGATTTATATTCCATTTGTGTTGATCTTCATTTACCAAGTATCTTTCCATTGATGTATTTATAAATTATAAAAGAGAGGTAAAAGATACCAAAGGAACATCCAAACTCACAAGTCAACAATAAACTGACAAGGCCATGGCTAAAAAAGAAAAAAGAAAAACAACAGTACACAAAACACAACATTTAAAAAATAAAGACTTAGCAACACCAACCCAAACAAAAACACGGTTTGATCCCAGGTGCTCCATATTTATAAATTACATTAACAAATGAATCTTCAAATAATGTTATTTTATAGGGAAGGAAAGACAAATGCTCATATGAATGGTGACTATCAAAGAATAGGAGATATAATGAATGACAGCTTTAATACTAATGTACTAAATGTAAGTATAAAGTCAATATTGAGTAAAACTGTCCTAGGTCAAGGTTTTATATTGAGACATACAACTATGAACCCCAGTTCACAGCTTCTATTAAACATTGTACTTTTCTTTTCTAGAGAAAAACTTGCATCTTCTTACAAATTTCTTTCTATGCTGTTTATATATGATTTCTGCAAATTCAGTACTACACTTTTATAAAGAAAAATGGGAACAACTGAGATGACAGGGTACAATGTTTATTGTAAATTCAGAAATTTTTGCAAGGTTTTTATGATACCGAAAATTGCAAGGAGTTAGGTTTCGCAAAAATAAAAACTTGCATTATAGACTATGATGGCGTTATTTGTATGCAACATTTCCTGAAATCACAATAACTAATCTTACATTTGTTGTCCATTTAACAACAATCTCAATAATACTGGTAAATGAACGATTTACAGTAATTTGGTACACATTGAGAATAGTAATGTAATCTATGTATTTGGATATTTTAATGGATTGTTGTATTTCACCAATGATTTATAACTTCATTGCAGAATAAAATGTATTAGAAATAGAATAGAATAGTTATGACAGCTGTCTTCTTTTCCTTGTAGATGTATAAACATTACATTGATCATGTGGAAGATTTACTTACACAAGTACAGGAAAATATGAAGAGAAACAAAAAGTTTGATCAAATGTACAAAGAATTTGAATCTCAAAAAGTTTGTTATCTACCCTTGAATACATTCTTTTTAAAACCAGGCCAAAGATTACTTCACTACAGACTTATTTTAGAACGTAAGTAACAGATTTATTTTGATAAAAAATTGTGGAATTGAGAATTACATTAAAAACTCAAAAGAGGATTTGACATAACCTATTTGTGTAGATGAGAAAAAACAATTTGGTAAACTAGGTTACACAATTATTCCTTCTTAATTTAACATGACGCGATTGATGATAGCAGTATAATAAAAAAAATAAAAAATTGTAATGCCCTTTTTTTTTTTTTTAAATGACTGAAATAAATATTCAGACCTCGGGCTTTTAAATATACCAAGATTGTTTTTATTCTTCAATTACGCGAAAGTCATGAGTTTTATTTAAAGGGACCTCAGTAGTTGAGTGGTCTAAGTAGTCCAACTACTGTATCACTAGCCTGTCAACACTGAGGCTATGAGTTCTAATCCCTCACATGGCAGGTGCGTTTGACTTCAATCTAAATTGACCGTTTTCCTACTGAAGGTCAATGGTTTTCTCTGGGCACTCCGGTGTCCTCCACCAATAAATACTGACCACCAATCCATCAATCAATCAATATCATCTTTAACACCATTTCAATACACAATTACAGCTAAGTGTAAACCTACATCATCAATAGAAGAATCCTCCCTTTTTGACATGACCTATTAAAATGTATATAGTAGTAGTCATTTTATTAAGAATTTTGTGAAAGCTCCCAAAAAGTTATCACATTTTCTTTCTTGAAGAGTCATCCATTGTAATCAGTATGAGTGTAGACTACTGATATGGTAGGTTAATTGAGGAAGTCAAACAAAAATAGATCTAGTCAATGAAAAGTGAGTGCTTACTATTTATACATGGCAAGTTATAACACTCACTTAAAATTATACCATAAACGAAAAAAAAAAAAATTAAACAGAACTTCTTGACACCTATATAATTTTTTTTTATTTCTTTTTAGGAATAACAAAGCACTATTCCATGGATCATCAGGATTATTCTGACTGTGATGGTAAGTGCTAAGAACACATATATTTGCAGGGCTTGTTTTCAATGTCCACGCACAGATTTTTGTATGATTTTTTTTTCATAACGCTATTTAAGTTTCTTCGAAGATGGTTCAAATTAGGGAAATAGATAATTTTCTTTCACAAGTTAGGTAATGATAATGTTTCATTATGTTTTACCATATAGATGTTTTACATGATGAAAGAGTACTGGCACTATAAAAATAAAACATAATGCCTGGAGAATGCACTTCCATGATTAAGATTTTGGATGTTTGTCACTGAGACTGTAACCAAATGAATGACAAAAAACATAAAAGATTTCAAATGAAAATTTATTCAAAAGAAAGAAGAATGACAGGATATCGCAAGAGGAAGGCTAAAATGATCATATCACACAGATAAGAAAGATTCTTTGATTAGTTATGTCTTAAGTATTGAAGACTTGTATCCCTTGAAAGGATTTAATATAACTGTAAATTCAGAAATTTTTGTGCTTGTTGGACAATTGTCGAAAATGTGAGATTAGTTATTGCAATCAAAATTTAAAATGCAAGTTTTTATTTTTGTGAAACCATGCTAAGCTTTGCAATTTTGGCAATAATTTCTGAATTTATAGTTTGTATCCATAAAGTACACTGCTTAGTTATTTATAGTCAGCATATCAACGGGAAAGAAATTTTTGACAAGCATGCACAAGTAAATATTTTCCCTGCTTGCGACAGAAATATATAGAAAGAGAATCATGGTAGTTTTGAAAGAATGTTCAACATAAATGCATGTTGTCAAAATGTATTTATTTCATTTACAGCTTGCCTGAAGAATTTTACTGATGCAGTTTCTGAATGTAAAGACAGAATGAAACTAGAAGTAAGTTTCTAAATGAAATTAAATATTAACGTATTTAAATGAATAAGTATGTAGCCCTTGACACTGGCCAAAAGAGATGGTAACGTTTTGATAATTTATATTTTATCTAATTCACCTAGCTCAAAGCATTTGATTTGTGATATTGACATGGCAATAGTTTGAGCTAAATATCTGAGGATGTTTTTAGTCCCCTACCGACGAAGTCGAAGGGGACTTTAGGTTTGCATTCCGTCCGTCTGTCCGTCTGTCTGTCCTTCTGTCAGTCCCGCAAATCAGTTTTCCACACTTTTTTTCTTCATTCTTGAAGATATTGATTTAATAATTGGTACATTGTTTTATCATGACAAGTTACAGATCAAGTTTGAATTTTGTTCCGGTCTGATGATTTTGTGCAGAGTTATGGTCCTTGGACTTAGAAAATTCACTCAAATAATCAGTTTTCTGCACTTTTTTTCGTCATGCTTGTTTTGTTTGTTTTTTATAAGTATATTAAATGAAAGTTTAAAAGGTTCAGGATTGATAAAAAAACAAATAAATAATGTAATGGTCCAGAGTTGAAAATATGAAATTGCAAATAAAATCACCACAAGTTACAGGTTTAGGATGATCTTCTTATGGTTATAATAATGAATTATTTAATTAGCAAGGTAAAGGAAGCACCAAATAACATTTTTTGTAAAAAGTTGACATTTATGAAAATTTTCTTTTTAGGAGAATCTTCAGAAGTTAATAGAACTGCAGAGAGATATGATAGGAATAGATACTTTAGTCGATCCTGATAGAGTAAGTTTTACTATTTAATGTAAACTCTGTTAGTGTTGGACCATATAGTTTTGTTTACTCTCCTGAGAGAGTAAGTTTTACAGTCAAACTTTGTAATGAAAACTCAGTGTTAAACCATATAGTTATAATACTGTTATAGCTTCAGGTAACGATAATTTTAATGGTAATTATAAGGTATGATTGAAACCAAACTGGTATGAATGTTTCTTTTGAGGTGCTGACCAAGTGTTGTTACTTTGTAGCTGATTTGTCATCCAAGATGGCTGCCAGCAGGGGGAGTAAGTTTAACATAGGACCCTATGGGAAATACATACAAATGCTTCTTCTAGAGGAGCACTGAATGGAATGGGCAAAATTGTCAATTGACATCTTCTTGGAGTTATTGTCCTTATAAAGTCATTTTCTACAATTTCAATGAATTTATTAGTAATTTCTGTAAACTTTAAAAAGTCTTCTGCTTTTGATTAAATTATGGGACCTATCTTGAACCAAATTTGGCCTCAATCATTGTTATGGTATCTGTTATGATTTTAATCTATTTTTACATGATTTCCAAAACCAAAGTAGAATCAGGTGAGCGACACAAGGTCTTGAGAGCCTCTACTTTTAACATGTAACATTCTAGCCATTTTATTTGTACAATACAATGTAATATTTCTTAGTCATATTTCTTGTTTTGTCTTTACAGAAATTTATTCGAGAAGGATGTTTACAGAAATTTTCAAGAAAGGGATATCAACAAAGAATGTTTTTTTTGGTAAGAATATTTTGTTTAACCCAAATCCATTCATTTGCGTAATATCCAGGAAATGTTTTAAATGTAGAGCTGAAAAGTAATAAACCGAAGGTCCCTGATTATTTTGGTTGTAAATTTGTATAAATACAGATTTTCTTAAGTTGGTATATACAAATTTGTAGATCAAGTAAGTATGCCTCCTGGTTTATAGATAAGGGGTGAGTTTCCTTTTTCACAATTAATACTTTGTTTATGTTCTGTGACTTTATGCTTTCATCCAAATGTAAAGTATAAAACAAAATGTAAGAAAAGAAGTTGAGTTAAGAGAAGGCAGAGTGTATGTTTATATCAACTTTGTAATTATCCATTTTGTCATTTCAGTTTTCAGATATATTGTTATATTCTAGTCGTACGGCATCCTCCTTACTACAGTTCAAAGTTCATGGACAGCTCCCTCTTAGAGGAATGATTGTAAGTGTATCTAGCATTACAAAATTGTAATAACACATAATTAGAGGGCTATCCTTGTACACAGAATCTTTAGATAGAATAGAGAATGGAAACGGTAAATGAAAGAGACAACAACCTGACAAAAGAGCAAAAAACAGTCCAAGGCCTTCAATGGGTCTTCAACTCAGCGAGATAGGCGGGCTACAGCTGACCCCTGAACAATCATGTATTCTAGTTTGCCGAATTGGATACCACTTTAAACTCTGATACATAGAAATGAACCAAAATTTTTAAAAAAACACACACAATATAAAAATAAGGAGATGTGGTATGATTGCCAATGAGACAATTGTCCACCAAAGTTCAAATGAAGTATATGTAAGCAATTATAGGCAACCGTACGGCCTTAAACAATGAGAAAAACCCATACCGTGTGGTTGGCTATAAAAGGCCCCGACATGAAAAATATGAAACAATTCAATTGAGAAAATTAACGGCCTAATATTAAAACAGTTTACGAAAAACAAATATGACAGACATAAACCAACGACAACCACTGAACTACAGGCTCTTGACTTGGGACAGGCACATAAAGAATATGGCAGGGTTAAACATGTTTGTGAGCGCTCAACCCTTACCTGGGATAGTGGTTTAATAGTACAACATAAGGACAAACTATAAAAATCAGTTGAAAAATGCTTATATAAATACATTTAACAAAAACACAAAGTGGACGTGGACAGGTACTTGTACATCCCAAAAACATAAAAACACTAAGTACAGATCTGAGACTATCAAAGGCTAGAGGTTCCTAAGTTGGGACAGGCACAAAAATGGGGCGGCGTTAAACATGTTTTGTGAGATCTCAACCTTCCCCTGAACCACTAGCCAATGTGAAATAAACAAAGACACAGCAAAACGCACAGTAAAACTCAGTTTATAAGAAGTCCGAGTCCAATGTTAGAATAGGTAACAGAAGAAACTAAGCAAAATGACAATGATAAACATAAATTAACAAAGGACTACTAGCAGTTACTGATATGCCAGCTGCTGACCAATTAAACTGATTGAAAAATTATATCTTCATCATATGAAAATCAACCATAATCCCTCCTGTTAGGGGTTTAGTATCATGCCATCATAAGAAAAAATGAAAACAACATGTTATAAATTTTATGCATTCAAAGCGCTTATCTGAATTTACCTTCATCAGGAATGCTCATAGCCAAATATTTGAAAGCCAAGGATGTATCAGAAATTATACGAGAAGAACATAATGACCACTGTTATAATACAAAAATGTTCCCTTGAATACAAATGACTTAAGTGAGAAAATTTAGATTAAAAATAAATGAACTTTTTTCTTTGTGATAAATATAAGAGCACTTTGTTAAATAGTTGAAATAAAGATAGAAATGTACATTACATTTCTATAAAATAATGACAGCATACAAAAAGTTTGTGAAGAATAAAATCAAACAAGAAATTTAAAGGTGAATAGTAAAAAATAAAAAAAGATGAGTAAAGTTTTAATCTGTTGTCCAGGTTGAAGAATCTGACCATGCCAAAATGGCTGTAGCAAATAGTTTTGCCATTTATGGTGGAAATAAATGTATACTTGTAGCTGCCAGGTAAGTGGATTTCTTTATTTGTTAATTACAAACTCTGGTCCCTAAAGATCTAGATTGTTAGTGGTGTAGTTTTGCCAGTGCTCTCTCGAGGGACTGGTAGCATCATGGTAATGCGATGGTATTTTGCTTGAATGTGGTGCTATCTGAAATAATTTTCTTATAGATTGTGATGCTATAATTTGAAGAAACAAGATGGTATTTCAAAATTACCTGTTTACGAGGATGCTATATGAAACTTGTGAGGAGAACACAGTTTTTGGTAAAGATTGCATGAAATGCAATCAAAACCCTATGGTACTGGCTTGATATTTAATCTTCCAAGGTTTATCACTACCTTTCATAGTTCAAACAAAATAGTGCAGTGAAGTGATCATTCTTTAGATCCTATCCAGTCAATGAAGAGCCATTTATTAATGATATGTTATACTTAGATATTCAAGTTACAATATGATGTGTATTTAAATTAACATACTTATCAAGAAGAATTTTCTTTATTAAAATTTACATAAGTACATAGTGTATGAATCTGTGATAAAAATAGGTTCAACTACAAATGTACAATTATGAACAAAGGAAGATAAATCCAACTCAAACTTATAATTTGCGTAGCTAAATACAATTCAATGTTTTATTTTAAGTTCACAAAATTGCAAAATGGAAGTAATCTTCACCCTTCAGTGTCACCACATTTTATTTTTTATGCCCCTGCCACAGCAAAGGGGGCATTAAGTTTTACCCTAGTCTGTCTGTACGTCCGTCATATGTTCATACGTCCCAAAAATAGTTTCCGTTCTCTAACTTTAGTTTGTCTTAACTAAATTTTATGAAACTTATACACAATGCTTATTACCACCAAACACAGATCAAGTTTGAATTTGGGTGGCATCACTTTCACCGTTCTCAAGTTATGTCCCTTTGTAAATGGAAAATTGCTAAATTTGCTGTTTCCACACACTAACTTTAGTTTGCCTAAACCAAATGTTATGAAACTTATACATTATGCTTATTCCCACCAAACACAGACCATTACAAGTTTGGTTGGCATCACTTTTGCTATTCTTGGGTTATGTCCCCTTGAAAATTGAAAAATAGTAGTATTTTACGTATATATATTAACAAGTAGGGGCATCTGTGTCCGATGGACACATTCTTTATTTATTTTCATTTGCAAAACTTGTGTCATTATAAAAGTCTTTTTCAAACAGTAGTTCTTTGTGTTTCTAGACGTAAAACATATCTGAGTTGCAGTATTTAATGAAAGTTAAACATACTTTATGATATGTCAAACTAACCTAGCTAGATGGTAATTATAAAAATAGTACTGATATTATTGTGGTTCTTCAAAGTAGTACATACTTTATATAAGAAGCTACTCATATTTGGTAAATATACAAATAGACTTCACATGAAAAAAGCTATTGATTAAAAATTACGAAATATTTGTAGATACCTAGACAGACTACCTTTTAAATAACAAAATGGGTTTTTTTTCTGAACAAATTACTATACATTGTGCACTTTAAAATGGTATTTTTTTGGATTTGTTTTTTCCACTCAAATCTTAATATCTTTGGCATGAGCTTGTATGCCTTATTAAGTATCTGAAAGTAAAATATGTACATCTTTAAAGGCATTTCTTTTCTTTGTGACGTGTAAATAGAGTTTCAACATCTTTCAAGTGGTGAAAAATGGAATTTATAAGCAATAAGGAAGGAACTATCTACTGAGGATTTATTCTTTTAGTTGGCATCAATTTTAGCAGATTGAGGAAACCTTGTATTTTCGTGAATATTTGATTATGGTGTTTTGCCAAAGTCTGCATTCAAGCCTATTTCAATGCATCTATATGGAGGAAAGGGTCATACTAAATAGTTTTATTTTTCTGTTTTCAGTTCACAAGAAGAGAAAGATAAATGGATAGAAGACTTGAATGAAGCCATAATATCATCTGGAAATAGAAATGATAGTAAACTTAAATATGCTAGTCTAAAATCATCTACAAGTAAGATAGTAAACTTAAATATGCTAGTCTTAAATCATCTACAAGTAAGATAGTAAACTTAAATATGCTAGTCTTAAATCATCTACAAGTAAGATAGTAAACTTAAATATGCTAGTCTAAAATCATCTACAAGGAAGATAGTAAACTTAAATATGCTAGTCTTAAATCATCTACAAGTAAGATAGTAAACTTAAATATGCTAGTCTTAAATCATCTACAAGTAAGAAAGGAAACTTCAATATTCTAGTCTTAAATCATCTACTAGTAAGAAAGGAAACTTGAATATGGTAGTCCTAAATCATCTACAAGGAAGATAGTAAACTTAAATATGCTAGTCTTAAATCATCTACAAGTAAGATAGTAAACTTAAATATGCTAGTCTTAAATCATCTACAAGTAAGAAAGTAAACTTAAATATGCTAGTCTTAAATCATCTACAAGTAAGAAAGGAAACTTCAATATTCTAGTCTTAAATCATCTACAAGTAAGAAAGGAAACTTGAATATGGTAGTCCTAAATCATCTACAAGGAAGATAGTAAACTTAAATATGCTAGTCTTAAATCATCTACAAGTAAGAAAGGAAACTTAAATATGCTAGTCTTAAATCATCTACAAGTAATGTCAACATATATTTGTTCCTCTGGAAACTTTGTTATAACTGTTGGAACAAATACTGTAATATTTCTTCCATTTTAGAACTAATATTATAAAGGAACTTCTACTCCATGACATTTGATGAATGTAAAGTTTTCAGGATTTTATTTTCTCTATTATAATTTTCATTTTTGTCCCCCGCGTAAGCGTTGCGAGGGACATGGAAATACCGGGCGTCTGTCTGGTCTTGTTAGCGCTCTTAGGGGTACAATTCTTGCCAGATATTTATAAAACTTATACTATAGGTTAATATCAGCAATAACTCGGACAAGTTCTAAAATGGTGGATGATCGACATTTTTTAAAGGAGTAATGCCCCTTGGAAGTATTAAATTTATGGAAAATGGCCTCGTTAGCGCTCTCACTGGTACAATTCTTGTCAGAATTTTATAAAACTTACACTATAGGTTTATATCAGCAATATCTCGGACAAGTTCTAAAATGGTGGACGATCGACTTTATTTAAAGGAGTTATGCCCCTTGGAAATATTAAATTTATAGAAAATGACCTCGTTAGCGCTCTCACGGGTACAATTCTGTTCAGAATTTTATAAAACTTATACTATAGGTTAATATCAGCAATATCTCGGACAAGCCGTATAATGGTGGCCGATCGACTTCTTTTAAAAGAGTTATGCCCCTTGGAAATATATAAAATATGTGCAACGCGGGGGACATTGGAACTCTGTTCTTTTATCTCAATTGGTTTGTTATGTCATTTTTTTATGACTCTGCATATGTCACCTGATTTGGACCTCAAATGTTTGCTAAGTGGCTAGGTCAGTTCTGAATTACTTTTTTGTTAAATTTATATCTTTCTATAGGTTGTTATTTGATTGCAATTCTCCTAGAAACTTGAATTTTGCCATTAGTATAGACTTTAAGCATAGTCAATCATAAATAATTATGTAGGTGAGACATTTCTGCCTGTCCGCTCTTTTACAGGTATGAATTCGTATGTGATTTTGATTTATTTAATGCTATCTACTAATGAATATGATATATTTACATGTACTCGAATTTGAGTAAATCAGTGTTGTGCCTAGTTCAGCGTAACCATAGGCTTATAAAGTTTTCTTTAAAGGTTCATCAGAAAATGTTGATGGTGAAACTCCAGAAATAAATGGTCATGTACCAGAGAAACAAATACATCATAGATCTAATACTACCATGCATGTATGTTGGCACAGAAATACAAGTGTTAGTCTCAGAGACCATGAAAAATCTGTCAAGGTATGTTTTTTTGATAATTAAAAAGTTTCAGCTTATATTTCATGCGTTAATGATTTAACATATACCCCCAAACCAAACTCAATACTTTTCTGCAGAAAGAGTATTGTGTTTGGTTTGGGCTCCATGTTAAATGTTGGTTTTGTAAGAGATTTGTAACAACAGCAAACTTATTGAATTCATTCATATAAAATGGAATGAGTTCTAAGTAAGTTTAGAAAGCTGACATCAATAGTTTTTTTTTTGGTGAATTTGACAAAAACAACTTAGGCATTAAAATGTATTTCTCTTAAGAAAATAAATAAAATCTTATATAGTTCAACAATGGTCTACATCTGGTTCATCTGACCACAACCCTGTTTCTTGGATCAGAAATCAAGGTTACGTTTTTGTGGTCAAGTCCTATTTGATGTAAGGATTGATTGTATCATGTACATGTCTGTCTGGCAGAGTTCATCTGACCACCAATTCATATGCATGGTCCATGGGTCATATTATGTCTCCGATACTATAAGCAATGTGTATGGAATGATAAGAATGTTTGGCTGAGAGTGTTCATCTGCCCATGACCTTATTTTCATGGTTCATTGTTCAAAAGCTTACTTTTTGTTGAGCCTGCAACTTTTGTCGCAGAAAGCTCGACATAGGGATAGTGATCCGCCGGCGGCGGCGGGTTAGCTAACTTCTTAAAAGCTTTATATTTTAGAAAGTGGAAGATCTGGATGCTTCATACTTTGTATATGGATGCCTCATGTTACGAAGTTTCTGTCAGTCACATGTCCAATGTCCTTGACCTCATTTTCATGGTTCAGTGACTACTTGAAAAAAAAGTTTAGATTTTTTGTAATGTTAAATTCTCTCTTATTATAAGTAATAGGATAACTATATTTGGTATGTGCGTACCTTGCAAGGTCCTCATGCCCGTCAGACAGTTTTCACTTGACCTCGACCTCATTTCATGGATCAGTGAACAAGGTTAAGTTTTGGTGGTCAAGTCCATATCTCAGATACTATAAGCAATAGGTCTAGTATATTCGGTGTATGGAAGGACTGTAAGGTGTACATGTCCAACTGGCAGGTTTCATCTGACCTTGATCTCATTTTCATGGTTCAGTGGTTATAGTTAAGTTTTTGTGTTTTGGTCTGTTTTTCTCATACTGTATGCAATAGGTCTACTATATTTGGTGTATGGAATGATTGTAAGGTGCACATGTCTAGCTGGCAGGTGTCATCTGACCTTGACCTCATTTTCATGGTTCAGTGGTCAAAGTTAAGTTTTTGAGTTTTGGTCTTTTTTATGCCCCCGCCGTACCGGAGGGGGCATTAAGTTTTACCCTTGTCCGTCTGTACGTACGTACGTACGTCCCAAAATTGGTTTCCGTTCTCTAACTTAAGTTTGCCTTAATTTCTAATTCTATATGCAATAGTTCAACTATATTTGGTGTATGGAAATATTTTATGATCTATATGTCAGTCACGCAGGTTTTATTTGACCTTGACCTCATTGTCATGGTTCATTGGTCAATGTTTAGTTTACTTGGTTAATGTTAAGTTTATGTGACAGTTGTAATAAAGCTTTATATTTAGGACTATCAACATAATATCGATGATTAGTAAAGAAGGTGAGACATTTCAGCGTGTGCACTCTTGTTCTTGTTTAGGTCTGTTTCTCAGATACATTAAGCAATGGGTAACTATATTTGGTGATTGGAATGATTGTAAGGCGTAACCTTATGTACATGGATCACACTACACAATGGCGAGACATGTCTCTGTGCCAATAGTTTATTAAATCTATTTTTACCAGATTCCTACTTTTGTAGACCAGATGATTATTTTTTATGCCCCCGCTGAAGCGGAGGAGGCATTAAGTTTTACCCTTGTCCATCTGTACGTACGTACGTCCCTAAATGTGTTTCCGTTCTCTAACTTTAGTTTGTCTCAACCAAATGTTATGAAACTTATACACAATGCTTATTACCACAAAACACAGATCAAGTTTGAATTTGGGGGGGGCGTCACTTTTACCGTTCTAGAGTTATGCCCCTTTACAAATGGAAAAATTGCTGAAATTTTTGTTTCTGTTCTCTTAACTTTAGTTTGCCTCAACCAAAAGTTATGAAACTTATACACAATGCTTATTACCACAAAACACAGATCAAGATTGAATTTTGGTGGCGTCACTTTTACCGTTCTAGAGTTATGCCCCTTTACAAATGGAAAAATTGCTGAAATATTCGTTTCTGTTCTCTAACTTTAGTTTGCCTCAACCAAATGTTATTAAACTTATAATCAATGCTTATTGCCACAAAACTCAGATCAAGTACAAATTTGTGTAGCGTCACTTTTACAGTTCTTGAGTTATGTCCCTTTATAATGTTATATGCAAGAGGGGGCATCATCTGTGATTATTTATAATCAATGTGTAGTTCGTATGATCTCAGTTCTTCATATGTCTAAATTCAATAATGACGTGAAATAGTCTTGCTGTTTTCTTTTATCATCTAAAAATCGTTAGAGAAATAGATTCCACTATGTCACACTTGATGCAGTTGTAGAATCTATATTTCTCAGAAATCTTTTGTTGATATATCAACGATATTTTATTACTATTCCTCTCTCACACAATATCACAGTTTTACAATATTCTTTTACTTTTCCCCAGGTAGGTTATATTTGTATGTTACAGATATTGTTTTCTATTGTAGAATCAGATGAGCGGTTACTTACTAAGTAATTTCCCCAGGTAGGTTATATATATTGTTACAGATATTGTTTTATATTGTAGAATCAGATGAGTGGTTACTTACTAAGGAAGTTTAAGAACAGCAATGGATGGCAGAAACTGTGGGTTGTCTTCACTAACTTCTGTTTATTTTTCTACAAAACATATCAGGTAGGTGCAGACATCAAGGATGTAGAAATCCTTAAAATTTTACTATTTACTGTCATAACAGCTACACTAATATAAAATGCTAGACATAACATTGCAATCAAAGCTTGTTCACTTTAAACTATATACAGTATTTACCAAGATTAAAGTAGCTGTTTTTTTCTTACTTCCTGTATGAACTTACAAAATAATCTGAATTTTAATTTTAAATGACTTGAAAGATAGCTTGAAAAGATTGTAAAGGCTGAATATTTGATAGTTTTCGTTTTGATAAAGTCATGAATGAGGTGGTAAACAAAATGCAAGAATCTTGTTTTTCAATTTGAAAATTTAAATGTCTCTAGAAGAGAAATATTGTATTACACTTGATGCCATGTTAAAATCTATTTATTAGGTATTAATTGGATTGAAGACAGGTTTTTAGATTTTTACTATGTCCTACAACTTATTTATTAGACATAATGTTCTCAAATAAAAGCTTAGAACTAATTAACTTTATCAAAATATGCTTACATTTATCAGAATTAAATTGAAATTTATTGGAAATTAAATTGAACTTCTTAAAACTGAATAATCTTTATGTTTGAACACAAGTTTTTAATGCAACAATGTATCTAATGTCAAATGATGTCATTCTAATGCAATGTCAACTATAAAACAATTATAAGAGGATGATGAAAAATATGTTTATAAAAGTAAGAAAGACAATGTTATCCACACTCAAAAATATTACAAGGAAAATCACTTGAAAAATCAATAAAAAAAGAATTTTAAAAGTTAGCAGGCCTGGTTACATGCATAAATCATTGCATAATATTTCCAGTTTTATCTTGAAAATGTTGATTGAATGTAATAAAATATCATCCAATAGTTATAGATATGGAAAAGATAACAATTATCATGCAGAAAACTTTTTGGACAACTAATGTATTATTATAGTATTTTTGATAGTGTGTAGATCATTTTAACATCTTATACCTTTTTCAGGATGATTTCCCTTTGGCAAGCCTGCCGTTACTAGGTTATGCAGTTAATACACCTGATGAAGAAGATGGGATTCACAAAGATCATGTATTTAAATTACAATTCAAAAATCATGTCTATTTCTTCAGGGCAGAGAGTGAATACACATTTGAAAGGTAAGATAGATAATTCAATGAATGTTTTGATTGGTTGATTGAATGATTGTCCGGTATCATGAAAAGATCAAATCTGATAAACAGTTTCTAGGAGGCCAACTAAAGATGAAAGGCAGAAATAAACTGCTGCTAAAAAAAAGAAGGTATAGTATGTTGATTAGGGGCCAAAATTTTGCCTTGTAACTGGAACCTTTGGTATACATAGAGCATAGTTCTTTTACGGAGCATCAGATTAAACATCATTGCAGCATATTTATTCATTCTGTATGGATTCCACCTTAGCATGGATCTTAATGCCAAACAAGAGAAGTTTGGTTACCATAGTATTAAACATCAGTTCATATTGGAATGCTTCAAAGTTTGAAGGATGTTTTGAATCAGACATTAATGTTTATTATTTGAATTTATGTTGACACCTTGTATTGGTTTACGTGATATATTTTGCATTATATTAAGTGATGAAGGTGTCTGTCATTTTCATTTTACATCTGAATGGCTTTGATTTAGTTTTGCGTTAAGGTAGAAATTGTTGAGGAATTATCTTTTGTCCATTGATGTATTATGTTTAGTGATGAAAGTACATACTAAAATTAGGTGCGCTAGATTTTCTTCGATATTAAACTTTGTCAAACCTTCAAGAAATTTGAATATGCTTTTTTAGCTCACCTGACCTGAAAGGTCAAGTGAGCTTTTCTCATCACTTTGCGTCCGTCGTCCGTCGTCCTGCGTCCGTCGTCCGTCGTCCGTAAACTTTTACAAAAATCTTCTCCTCTGAAACTACTGGGCCAAATATAACCAAACTTGGCCACAATCATCATTAGGGTATCTAGTTTTAAAAATGTGTGGCGTGACCCTGTCAACCAACCAAGATGGCCGCCACGGCTAAAAATAGAACATAGGGGTAAAATGCAGTTTTTAGCTTATAACTCAAAAACCAAAGCATTAAGAGCAAATCTGACATGGGGTAAAATTGTTCATCAGGTCAAGATCTATCTGCCCTGAAATTTTCAGATGAATCGGACAACCCGTTATTGGGTTGCTGCCCCTGAATTGGTAATTTTAAGGAAATTTTGCTGTTTTTGGTTATTATCTTGAATATTATTATAGATAGAGATAAACTGTAAACAGCAATAATGTTCAGCAAAGTAAGATTTACAAATAAGTCAATATAACCGAAATGGTCAGTTGACCCCTTTAGGAGAAATTGCCCTTTATAGTCAATTTTTAACCATTTTTCGTAAATCTTAGTAATCTTTTACAAAAATCTTCTCCTCTGAAACAACTGGGCCAAATTAAACCAAACTTGGCCACAATCATCATTGGGGTATCTAGTTTAAAAAATGTGTGGCGTGACCCGGCCAACCAACCAAGATGGCCGCCACAGCTAAAAATAAAACATAGGGGTAAAATGCAGTTTTTGGCTTATAACTCAAAAACCAAAGCATTTAGAGCAAATCTGACATGAAGTAAAATTGTTTATCAGGTCAAGATCTATCTGCCCAAAAATTCTCAGATGAATCGAACAACCTGTTGTTGGGTTGCTGCCCCTGAATTGGTAATTTTAAGGAAATTTTGCTGTTTTTGGTTATTATCTTGAATATTATTATAGATAGAGATAAACTGTAAACAGCAATAATGTTCAGCAAAGTAAGATTAACAAATAAGTCAACATGACTGAAATGGTCAGTTGACCCCTTTAGGAGTTATTGCCCTTTATAGTCAATTTTTAACCATTTTTCGTAAATCTTAGTAATCTTTTACAAAAATCTTCTCCTCTGAAACTACGTGGCCAAATTAAACCAAACTTGGCAACAATCATCATTTGGTTATCTAGTTTTAAAAATGTGTGGCGTGACCTGGTCAACCAACCAAGATGGCCGCCACGGCTAAAAATAGAACATAGGGGTAAAATTCAGTTTTTGGCTTTTAACTCAAAAACCAAAGCATTTAAAGCAAATCTGACATGGGGTAAAATTGTTCATCAGGTCAAGATCTATCTGCCCTGAAATTTTCAGATGAATCGGACAACCCGTTATTGGGTTGCGGCCCCTGAATTGGTAATTTTAAGGAAATTTTGCTGTTTTTGGTTATTATCTTGAATATTATTATAGATAGAGATAAACTGTAAACAGCAATAATGTTCAGCAAAGTAAGATTTACAAATAAGTCAATATAACCGAAATGGTCAGTTGACCCCTTTAGGAGTAATTGCCCTTTATAGTCAATTTTTAACCATTTTTCGTAAATCTTAGTAATCTTTTACAAAAATCTTCTCCTCTGAAACAACTGGGCCAAATTAAACCAAACTTGGCCACAATCATCATTTAGTTATTTAGTTTTAAAAATGTGTGGCGTGACCTGGTCAACCAACCAAGATGGCCGCCACGGCTAAAAATAGAACATAGGGGTAAAATTCAGTTTTTGGCTTTTAACTCAAAAACCAAAGCATTTAAAGCAAATCTGACATGCAGTAAAATTGTTTATCAGGTCAAGATCTATCTGCCCTGAAATTTTCAGATGAATCGGACAACCCGTTGTTGGGTTGCTGCCCCTGAATTGGTAATTTTAAGGTAATTTTGCTGTTTTTGGTTATTATCTTGAATATTATTATAGATAGAGATAAACTGTAAAAAACGATAAATGTCGGCAAAGTAAGATCTACAAATAAGTCAACATGACCGAAATTGTCAGTTGACCCCTTTAGGAGTTATTGCCCTTTATAGTCAATTTTAACCATTTTTTCGTAAATCTTAGTAATCTTTTACAAAAATCTTCTCCTCTGAAACTACTGGGCCAAGTTAATTATAGATAGAGATAATTGTAAGCAGGAAAAATGTTCAGTAAATTAAGATGTACAAACACATCACCATCACCAAAACACAATTTTGTCATGAATCCATCTGCGTCCTTTGTTTAATATTCACATAGACCAAGGTGAGCGACACAGGCTCTTTAGAGCCTCTAGTTTGTCATTTAACTTATTGTACTGATAAATTAAATTTGTTTTATTACTTGCACTAGCATTTAAAAACTGTACAGTCTGGGTTTAAAGTTTTTTTTAGACATCAATAGCTGTGTCTAGCCTTCAATGTATTTCACAAATCTTGGACAGAAGCTTCTTCATAATCTGTGATTCAATTTCGTTTTTATATCATAGATTATACTGACATCATTTGTGACATACTCACCACTTAAATCAAAGCTAGAATGGCTTCTCTTTTTATATGCCCCCACTGTCACCAGAGCGGGCATTAAGTGTTACCCTTGTCCGTACATACGTATGTCCCGAAATTGTTCAAATTGCATTGGCAACAACAGGTCTTATTTATTCAAGCAACAATTCTTTAATATACAAATTTGAGTTTGAAAATAATTATTTGATAGTGTTCCTATGCCTGAAATACAGACAAAGGACACTTTATTTGAATAGTATTTTCATAAAGTTTTATATTTACAGAATGCTAAACTTAAGTCATGTTATCTATTTGTGGAAATTTTTGTATGAGTCTATTTGCTATTTTGGGAATTTACCAAAATATTTATCTTACAAGAACATTATTTTTTTATTTAAATGCACTGTAAAAGTCATTGAAATGCCAATAATGAACACAGCAAAGATATAACCTCCTAGTCAAATGTCCAAACCCATCCCAAAAAAAAACCTGACACAAAAAAATTACCTGATAATCTGTGTTTTGTCTAGAGTTACAATATCCTGAATACATTTGTAAGCTGTCATGAAACAATTTGTTTTTTTCTTCTTCTTCAGATGGATGGAAGTAATAAATAGTGCAACAAACAGTGCTAGAAGAATAAGACTATTTAGTAGACTGGACAGTCAGCATGCTTCATAGGGATTGCTCAATGTGTAGTACAAGGTTGTATTATGTTTTTGAAGAACTAGTGAATTTTACATAATGGACAACCAGTCTACAGTTAGTAATTTTAAGACTTTAATTGATGGCAGATGTGATGTATTTGGGATAGTTGCACAACCTCTTAATATTTTTTATTTGAAGACCCTCGGAAATATTGATATCAAGTGTGGTACTTCAGAGTTTTAAATAGGAAATTTTTTTTTACTGTCAACCATTTAAAAAATGTCAAATGTAAAGATGATTTTCATTTAATATATTCATCTTTTCAGCACTCTGTATAAGTGAGAGTAAGATGATAATGATGTCTAAAATATCAAATAAAATATCAAATACTGTTTAAGATAAGACTTATGTTGTTCCAGCTGAAAATAAGTTTTTATGTATTGAAACCTACTTTTTTTACACAACTCTGTAAATTGTTTATTTACTATTATTGAACAAAAGATTTGAAGTATTACAAATTCCAACAAACCATACTCAAATAATTTATAGTCATTTACGAACTGCCTTTCCATCCACAACTTTTAAACTGTGAAAGCATATTTTTAATCATCATACGCTGAAAATTATGACATGACTTAAAAACTTATTTTTCAATGCCTAAGTAAAAAATATCTGTTTTACAAATTATATGTACAGAAATAACTTTCCTTACATTGCATAGAAACTGTAGAAAGCACTGGAAAAAATCAGATTTTTTTCCTTTTTGGAATTAATTTCAGGAAAATCAATTGCTAACCTTAGTAAGATTGTAACTGGAGTGTTACATTTAACAGTATATAATATTTAGGCTACAACATGGTATGAGATAGTCATGAAAACAAAAGCCAGTAATTCACATAGAAGTGCCTTAGATTGACTAGTATTATTAATCCATTTTAATTGATTTTTTGAATATTTTATTCATCAAGCATTTATAGCTTTAGCAGTTTTTGCCGCTTTGATTTTTTGCTATCTTCATTTTTCGATTTTTAATATTTTTCGAGAAGATCATTTGACAGCTGCTGCTCAGAAAATTATTTCATTCATGAATCCATTTTTATTGTCACAAGAACTTGAACTTGTAACATGTTTTTCAGGGAGGAAATATAGAAGTTCCTAGTCATCAGTAAGAAAGTTTTGCCGAAATTTTGCTTGCATGCATAATATTGTAAAACTCATAGATTTAAAAAGTGCTGATATAAAGACTTTTGAGATTTGTTTAGTGTTGTTGTCCTTGCGTCAAACCATTTAATGTTTTAAAATGCAAAAAAAAAAAATACCTTGCTTAAATGAGTACTGAAGTTCTAGTATATTGTTCACTACACTTTTACTGAACTTTGTCCAAACTTGACTGTAGGTTGTTGAAGGGAGATAACAATGTCAAGTTAATTAAACGTACTTGAAAAAAAGATATACAATGAGATGCATTTATTTTTTTTTACAAATATAAATAAAATAATATTTAATGCTAATATACGGTTGAAATCAAAGAAGAATTCCACCTGGCCCCTTTTATAGTTCTAACAAACATATGTATATTGATAACTTTTGGAATAGTTCATCATATAAAATTTCTGAACTTTTAATTTTTGAAATTACACACATTCTTTACTACTAGCATAAAAAATAAACTGTTCACTAAAACAGAACATTGCTTTTGTTACCTTCAAATGTTTTATACCAACCATTTGGCTTTTAAATTTTGATGATTTTTATAATTATATCTATATGTTTTTGTGTAACAATATAGCATTTAGCATAGAAAGAATATATGTTAAACAAAACAGTACATTTAAATGTTTAAAATACTATCTTCATTTCTTTTCTGTACAAATATATCCTTCTTACTGTGTTTTTCTGTAGTTGTTTGTGACATTGATTATGTCTCATTTTACATTGGGAACAGAAGGCAAGATACATGTATAAATTCATTTCATTCTTTTGTGGTTAGTATTCCAATGATACATTGGAAAAGATATATTTCAAGTAGATTTCAAACCATCAAAATAAAATTTAAGTTTACTTGTTTGAAAAATATTTGATTTGACAAAGGTTTACAGTTGAAAATGGTTGATAACATTTGATTTGAATGGTTAATGAACAATGTTCTTCAGATACACCTTTATTTCAGTTTCTTATGTTGTGCTACTGAAATTGAATTTTACAAACACAATATTATACTGGTACACCAAGATGACATTATTCAGTTTAATTATGATTCAACTTAAAGTAAATTTTGATAGTTATTTGGCCAAAAACCTCAGTAAAAAATGTTATGAAAATTTACATATAAACTTGCCTTATTATTAAATAATTGATGTATGTGGTTTAATTTTTGTTGGTATTTTGTTGACGTATCTTGTGTTCAGATGTGACATAAAAATATTAAATACAAATAACACATAATTCCATGAAATGCAATATTGGTCTCAAACAGAAATATGAGATGACACAGATTAATTTGTTATTGAAGTGCAAAAATCCTTGTGATTGCATGTATCATTTTCTATTCAAATTTCAGATGCTTAAATATATTTCTGTGTGTAGTGTTAATGCTTATCTGTGTACTGACACGGTCTGTCCTGTTTAAATACACTTGTCTATAATATACAATTTCATCTGTTACTTTCTTTCATGAAAACTTAATTATATGTTCTACATTTCTTCAAATATTTTGTCTCATTATGAATATTTTCTTACATTTATTACAAAAACTTCAAGAATTTTTTAAGAATTTTATCAGAATTATTACCTTCCTCGTACAGTACTGCTGTAAAAGACAATAGTTTTCCCAACATATACAATTTAAACACAGTTTTTGTATCGCACAATGTTTTATTCCATTCATTTTATGTACAGTGTAAAGAATATATCTTCATATACAGACATAGATTTTATATTGTTATATAATTTACACAAGTATAATATTTATTATGGAAATAATGTAAAACACAGCTTTATCCTTTTGGAGAATTTTTTTATTTTTTATGTAGAAATTGTATATTAGAAATATGGTTGCATGGCAACATCATATTTATTTGTCTATTTTCTCTCTTACATTTTAGGGATTTTAAGCATATATGTTAATAAACAATTAAGGCTTGTTTTATAGTTTTAGGGCATTCATATTTATTTAAAAAAGAAAACCTTGTCTATTAAATATTGAACATCTTTGTGAAATGTTTCATCAAAAGGATTCTGTTGTTTAATACAAGAAAATTAGTGTAAAGGACAAGGTTCACTTTAGACCAAATATGACCTTGAAATACAACTGTATTATAAAATATTAAAATGGCCATAACTTGGTTCTTAAATGGATCTATTTCAAAAGCCTTACTACTAGGTTAAACACATCTCTTCATTAGAGTACAATCTAGGCTTCAAAGTCAGCACATTTTGGATATGTTGTCATAAAACGATGATTTTGTGTATTTTTCCGACCTAAAAGCTTGAGGAAACATTTGGCCGTAACCTAGGATCCAAAATGTTCTGTAGCCAAAAGTTGTCAACGATGATATTGAATCCCTTGACACAAAAACATTCTGGATCAGGGGAGGCGGCCAAAGTAAATTATGTTAAAAACTATTTAAATTTATTGAAAATTTGACCAAAACTGACGTTACAACACAAATAATGCATACTTGAGAGGTTATTTCTTCGTCATTTTTAATGCGATGTGCCAAAAAGAAGTTATTTTGTGTTAATAGTTATGTCACATCTATTTCTATGTGAAAATTTTTAGTTTTTTGGCAGTATTAAAAAAACATCAAATTTTTAGGGCCAATTTTAACCCTTCGTGAACTTACTCCTTTGTTAGATCTGTGAAGAACTGCATGTTATTCAGTGATTAAATTTCTCATTGCTTTTATCATAACACCTAAAAATGTGATGTTTATTATATATAAACATTGTAAGAACACTGTTACCAATACACAGCGTCTGATATTACATCACTGACAGATGTTATTGTCCCTGGTGAAGGATCATCGTTATATAGTGATTAATTTCACAGAGAAGTCATCAATCTTTACAAGTTTTTAAATGATTCATACAAGGTGTTTTTGTTTGTTTAGAAAGAGGTCAATGGCTATTTTACCTTTATCAAATGGTGTACACTATGAATAAATAATGTACTTTTATGAAATGATGTACACATATGAATAAATATTGACTTTAATTAAATGATGTACACATACGAATAAGTAATGTTCTGCATTTAAACATTAAAATATAAGTTTTTTGTACCACAATGTTTTTTTTTTTAAACTGTTTTGAATGTTTTCAAAATAATGCATGTTTTTTTATGTTATTCCTGAATTTTATACTTCTAAAATAGAATTTAACATATCAATATTATTCAAGTCAGCAGATTGGTAACAATGAAATATGTATTACCTCAGTGTATATACGGTATATATTAAGGGGCACTTTTTATAAATCTTTTGTTCAGTTTATGCTCTTATTGTAACAAGTATCAAGATGTTTTATTTGAAGGAATAATACTTAAAATGTGTAACTTTTGATTTTGACAATGATTGAAATTTTCATCAGGTAGGATTTTTTAAATCTGTAATACATTTTGTAGAAAACTAAGAGCTTTGTGCAAAAAAGTTTAAAAAAAAATAAAAACTGTGGCATTTAGCTTTCATCAGATCTGTTTCTAAGTTGAGTTAGAATTCATTGATGGGATAAACATTATTATTACACACTGATCAAATTTATATAAATCAATTTTGTACTAAGTAGTATTAAGATTGCAATAAGTTCTTGTTTATTTTTGTCAATTCACTTAGACATTAAACGTTTGGTAGGATATCTTTTGGTTGTATGTAAAGTAATTGTTAAGAAATTTGGTAGGATGTATTTTGGTTGTATGTAAAGTAATTGTAAGAAATTTGGTAGGATATCTTTTGGTTGTATGTAAAATAACTTTTATCTGTGGTAACTCACAATTTGTTCACTGTCACTAAAATCTCTAATAAATATAAAAACTATATGTCTGTATCTATCATAGGAGATTTATTTTGATTTGGTGCTTAATAATGTATATAGGAGTCATTACATTGTACATTTATCATGAGAAATAAAACATCATCAGATCTGTGTATGTGTTTTTCGTATGATAGAAGGTGTTGGATTGTTATGGAAGGATATTGTACACTGTAGGTAAATATCCATCTAAAAAGTATACAACACCTAAACAGTGATATCAAAAAATAGAAAATAAGAAATATCCTTCGTCAGTATGAGTAACCAGGTGTAAAATGATGTCATTAGATGTGATAATTTTCAGAAATCTTTTGAACATCATACAAATTAAACACTGAACACCAAAATCTAATGATGACATTCAGAAGAATGGGTGTTACAAAAAACAAACACATTTTACAATGTAAGTCTTCCATAGTATAATAGGTAATATCAGTTTCTTATAGTATTCACTAATATTTGCTGAGCCGTTTCTATATGAAGAAGAGTCGACACTCAAAAGAGTCTTGCCTATGGAAATAATTGAATTATTTTATATGGTCAGAATAAAATGAAACCTGTATGATGTGAGTGACTTCCTATAATGAGTTAAAAAATCTAAAGTCTAGATGGATAGCGGGATTGGTTAGTGTGCATATGAAACTGGTTTAACGCTATCCATACCACATTTTGTGCCTGAACCAAGTTGCTTTCTGGACCATGTGTTGATAACTCTATTTTCTCAGAGGAGTAATTTGTTGGTGTGTGATGTGAGTTGTTTGTCTTTGTTGATAAATTTATTTTCTCAGTGGAGTAAGTTGTTGGTGTATGATGTGAATTGTTGGTCTTTGTTGATAAATCTATTTTCTCAGTGGAGTAAGTTGTTGGTGTGTGATGTGAGTTGTTGGTCTTTGTTGATAAATCTATTTTCTCAAAGGAGTAAGTTGTTGGTGTGTGATGTGAGTTGTTGGTCTTTGTTGATAAATCTATTTTCTCAGAGGAGTAAGTTGTTGGTGTATGATGTGAGTTGTTGGTCTTTGTTGATAAATCTATTTTCTCAGAGGAGTAAGTTGTTAGTGTATGATGTGAGATTTTGGTCTTTGTTGATAAATCTATTTTCTCAGAGGAGTAAGTTGTTGGTGTATGACGTGAGATTTTGGTCATTGTTGATAAATCTATTTTCTCAATGGAGTAAGTTGTTTGTGTATGATGTGAGTTGTTTGTCTTTGTTGATAAATCTTTTTTCCCAGTGGAGTAAGTTGTTGGTGTATGATGTGAGTTGTTGGTCTTTGTTGATAAATCTATTTTCTCAGTGGAGTAAGTTGTTAGTATATGATGTGAGTTGTTGGTCTTTGTTGATAAATCTATTTTCTCAGAGGAGTAAGTTGTTGGTGTATGATGTGAGTTGTTTGTCTTTGTTGATAAATCTTTTTTCCCAGTGGAGTAAGTTGTTGGTGTATGATGTGAGTTGTTGGTCTTTGTTGATAAATCTATTTTCTCAGTGGAGTAAGTTGTTAGTATATGATGTGAGTTGTTGGTCTTTGTTGATAAGTTTATTTTCTCAGAGGAGTAATTTGTTGGTGTATGATGTGAGTTGTTGGTCTTTGTTGATAAATCTTTTTTCCCAGTGGAGTAAGTTGTTGGTGTATGATGTGAGTTGTTGGTCTTTGTTGATAAATCTATTTTCTCAGTGGAGTAAGTTGTTAGTATATGATGTGAGTTGTTGGTCTTTGTTGATAAATCTATTTTCTCAGATGAGTAAGTTGTTGGTGTATGATGTGAGTTGTTTGTCTTTGTTGATAAATCTATTTTCTCAGAGGAGTAAGTTGTTGGTATATGATGTGAGATTTTGGTCTTTGTTGATAAATCTATTTTCTCAGAGGAGTAAGTTGTTTTTGTATGATGTGAGTTGTTGGTCTTTGTTGATAAGTTTATTTTCTCAGAGGAGTAAGTTGTTGGTGTATGATATGAGTTGTTGGTCTTTGTTGATAAATCTATTTTCTCAGTGGAGTAAGTTGTTGGTGTATGATGTGAGATTTTGGTCTTTGTTGATAAATCTATTTTCTCAGAGGAGTAATTTGTTGGTGTATGATGTGAGTCGTTGGTCTTTGTTGATAAATCTATTTTCTCAGAGGAGTAAGTTGTTGGTGTATGATGTGAGTTGTTGGTCTTTGTTGATAAGTTTATTTTCTCAGAGGAGTAAGTTGTTTTTGTATGATGTGAGTCATTGGTCTTTGTTGATAAATTTATTTTCTCAGAAGAGTAAGTTGTTGGTGTATGATGTGATGTGATGCATATTGATAATTGCTGTGGTCTATGTATTATTCAGATCTAAAACCAAACATTTAGTTGGACAATTCTCTCAAGTCATCAAGTACACTTGTAAACAGATTGGTTTATTCTTGTATTATTCAGTCAACCATGGAAGTGATGGTACTATTCAAACAAATTTCCAGGACTTAAGTGTCAAATCAACACACATATGGCTGACTATTTACCTGATTTCTTTAAGCTATGATGCATTGACCTAAGCAAACTTTTAAAAATCCGGTTTAATAAGAAAATGTCCAACTTCTTAAGGGGCAAAAAAAATTAGAATATTTTATTTTTGTTCAATCATCAATGAAAGTAAAATAGTGAAATTATTATTTGCTTTTAGCAGCCAGTCTGTTCCAATTTTGTCAATATAATCTAAAAAACATTGCTGATGATTTATTCACTTGGTTGACTGACTCGATCCACAGAACCTCACTCTTATACAAACAAGGAATTATTTAAATCTGGAATAATTTTGAATTCTGGAAAATTGATAAGAAATATATAATGAAAACTAACCCAATTTAGGAGGGTTAGGCAAGCATGCATGGCTAAGAGGGGTTAGTTAGTTCATTCTGAAATATCAGTGAAAGTAAAATTAACCTTAGCCATGCACTCATGGCTTACCCTCTTTAGTTAGGTTAGTTTTCAGCATACATTTCTTATCAATTTTCCAGAATTCAAAATAATTCCATATTCAAATAATTCCTTTTTTACAGGTAAAAACAATGATTAACATATTTGTTTAACCTACAATATGAAATCAAAGAGACTTAGAAAAATCCAATTGCACATGTTGGCTATGTTTTTATAGCTATATATATGTTTATATCGGGTTATATGACCGTCGGCAGTCTTCGGAGGTCACTATGGTGCTATCTATATCATTAGTTTGTGATCTAGTGTTTGAAAAGAGAGTTGTCAACATTTTGGATGAGTTATTGGATCTGCTACAAATTGCTGGAGTGCTTTCTCTTCATAAAAGAGAAAAAGACAATTATGACTTTTCATGCATCTAGAATAAACTAGTAAATCAATTTCACACCTGTACGTTTGTCTGATTTAGTCAATATTTAAAAATTAAAATCTTACTGAAGCAGTTAAAAATGTTGATGTTCTGCATGAAGATAAATCAGTTATTCAGTTTCAGCTATATATAGTTTTTTATTGTTTGTCCATAAATCTGTCACCCAGTCAACTCGAACATCAGCAAGAGAGGGCTTTTATCAAATTTCATGAAACTTGTATGGAATATTTGAATTGGTAAGTGAAAGCTCCACTATGATTCTGAGAAATTATTGATTTGTCAATCCAGAGTTAAGAGACATTAACTGTCAGATTTAAGGAAAATTATTCGATATGGCTTATTAATTCAAGTATGCTTGGATTGATTTAATTTATGCTGTTGTTCGAATTAGTTAGAATAAGCTCCCTTTTGATTTTGAAAAATTTCTGGTTTGTTGTTCCAAGATTGAGGAAATTTAACCATAAGATTTAAGTTTTTTTTACATTTACTTGAAACTTAAATCAATTGTCAGGATTTGTAAAAGTCCATTACATTTTGATATTAAATTTTTTGTGATTCCATAGTAATGGACTTTTTTATCAGTCATATTTAAGGCAAATTTTCACATTGCGAGCACTAACTTGTGTGTGCTTAGATCAATTTACCTTCAACTTTATATTGGTGTTTAGATTGGAATGTTGTACAATATTTAAAGTCTTGGATTAGTTATTTTATAAATAATCAGGCATATTGGATTTAATATCAAGATAAATATAAAAATAAGGGAGATGGGGTATGATTGCCAATGAGACATCTATCCACCAAAGTTCAAATGAAGTGGATGTTAGCAATTATATGCAATTGTACAGCCTTCAACAATGAGAAAAACTCATACTGTATAGTCGGCTATGAAAGGCCTAGACATGAAAAATGTGAAATAATTCAATTGAGAAAACTAACGGCCTAATTTATAACTAAATAATTTACCAAAAACAAATATGATAGCCATTGAACTACAGGCTCCTTACATGGGACAGACACATAAAGAATGTGACGGGGTTAAACATGTTTTGAATGCTCAACCCTCCCCTAACCTCGGACAGTGGCTTTACAGCACAACATCAGAACAAATTGTAAAAATCAACACATATGGTTGATATCAAGAACTGTTTGCAAGAGAGAAGTAATCCCTAACCCATATGTATTATATGAAAATAACATGCATTCACTGGTACTTCTCATCATTCACATAATATCAAAAATTCATTTCTGAAAGTCTAAATTTTACTACAATATTTCGTTTTATTCAAGTAACATCATATTTCAAAGTTTGCTGCAAAAAAGAGAAATTGAGAGGGTCAGCCATTTTTGTCGAGCCTGCGACTTTTGTCGAGCCTGCGACTTTTGTCGCAGAAAGCTCGACATAGGGATAGTGATTCGGCGGCAGCGGCGGCGTTAGCTAACTTCTTAAAAGCTTTATATTTAAGAAGGTGGGAGACCTGGATGCTTCATACTTTGTATATGGATGCCTCATGTTACGAAGTTTCCATCAGTCACATGTCCAATGTCCTTGACCTCATTTTCATGGTTCAGTGACTACTTGAAAAAAAAGTTAAGATTTTTTGTAATGTTAAATTCTTTCTTATTATAAGTAACAGGATAACTATATTTGGTATGTGCGTACCTTGCAAGGTCTTCATGCCCGTCAGACAGTTTTCACTTGACCTCGACCTCATTTCATGGATCGGTGAACAAGGTTAAGTTTTGGTGGTCAAGTCCATATCTCAGATACTATAAGCAATAGGTCTAGTATATTCGGTGTATGGACGGACTGTAAGGTGTACATGTCCAACTGGCAGGTGTCATCTGACCTTGACCTCATTTTCATGGTTCAGTGGTTATAGTTAAGTTTTTGTGTTTTGGTCTGTTTTTCTTATACTGTATGCAATAGTTCTACTATATTTGGTGTATGGAATGATTGTAAGGTGTACATGTCTAGCTGGCAGGTGTCATCTGACCTTGACCTCATTTTCATGGTTCAGTGGTCAAAGTTAAGTTTTTGAGTTTTGGTCATTTTTTCTAATACTGTATGCAATAGGTCTACTATATTTGGTGTATGGAATGATTGTAAGGTGTACATGTCTAGCTGGCAGGTGTCATCTGACCTTGACCTCATTTTCATGGTTCAGTGGTCAAAGTTAAGTTTTTGAGTTTTGGTCTTTTTTTCTAATACTATATGCAATAGTTCAGCTATATTTGGTGTATGAAAATATTTTATGATCTATTTGTCAGTCACGCAGGTTTTTTTTTACCTTGACCCCATTTTCAAGGTTCATTGCTCAGTGTTAAGTTTTTGTGTTTTGGTCTGTTTTTCTTAAACTATAAGCAATAGGTCAACTATATTTGTTGTATGGAAGAACTGTTAGCTGTACATGCCTGCCTAGCATGGTTCATCTGACCTTGACCTCATTTTAATGGTTCATTGGTCAATGTTTAGTTTACTTGGTTAATGTTAAGTTTATGTGACAGTTGTAATAAAGCTTTATATTTAGGACTATCAACATAATATCAATGATTAGTAAAGAAGGCGAGACATTTCAGCGTGTGCACTCTTGTTTGTAAAGGTCATGTCATTTTTGGCTAACAGATGTTTCTGTAGGTTTCTATAGTTGAAAGCTCAGTCTTTGGTTTTCTATGTTGTTTTGTGTACTGTTGTTTGTCTTTTTCTTTTTTACCCATGGCGTTGTCAGTTTATTTTCGACTTATGAGTTTGAATGTCCCTTTGGTATCCTTCGCCTCTCTTTGTCATGGCGTTGTCAGTTTATTTTTGACTTATGAGTTTGAATGTCCCTTTGGTATCCTTGGCCTCTCTTTGTCATGGCGTTGTCAGTTTATTTTCGACTTATGAGTTTGAATGTCCCTTTGGTATCCTTCGCCTCTCTTTTGAAACACTCAAACTGAAGAAAACATATGTATTTAAAAAAAATGTATGATTTATACACATGTGAATAAAAGGAGCAATTCAACACTTGACATTTTGTTTATTCTCAAGCCTGCAAAATTTATTTAGTGAAAGCGAGACATAGCGATCCTAGATTCCGTCTGGGGTGTCCGCGGCATCAACATTTAGGTTCAGTCTTTGGTTTAAGTTTTTTTAGACACCAATAACTTTGTCAAACTTAAAAGGAATTTTATGAAATTTGGACAAAAGCTTGTTTATGACCAAAATACAGTATCCAGAGCAAAATTTTGAAAATAATTTCGTATTTGACAGATAAATCAACTTAGTTTTTTTTACAGTTTACAAGTAGATACAGTCTGAGGTTAAAGTTTTTCAGTCATCAATAACTTTGTCAAATCTTAATGAGTTTTAGGAAATTTGGACAGAAGCTTAGTTATGACCAAAAACAGTATTCAGGACAAAATTTTGAAAATATTTATTTTCACATTTCCGTATTTACCGTATCTAGTTATTTAGTAACTGATAAATGGAGTTACTGTTTTTTTTTACATTTAACAAATAGATTCAGTCTGTGGTTAAAGTTTGTTACGACGTATACACATCAATTACTTTATCAGACCGTAATAGAATTTTATGAAACTTTGGCAGAAGCTTTTTTATGATTAAGAGATAATGTCTAAAGCAAACTTTTGAAAATATATTTATTTCATTTTCTGATAGATGGACTTATTTTTTTACAGTTAACATTTACAGACAGTCTGGGATTAAACTTTTTTGACATGATAAATTTGTAAACCTTCATTGGTTGTTGTTATGAAACTTGGACAGAAGCTAATCTTCAAGACCATGAAATTTAAAAAGTTTTATTTTTTTTTAAATTCTGTATTTTACTGATAAATGGACTCACTTTTTAAGTCAACATTACACATTTACACTGACAGCAGCAATCCCAGGTGAGGCACAGGGTTACGCGGGGTAGAATCAATTTGCGCCAATTACAGTTTTGAAAAGGTATCAATTGTGCCACTCTCTATTCTTCTGATGGTATTAATTGCACCAATAAATGGAATCAAATTGTGCCACATTTACCTGTATATGTTTTACCTATATCATACAGGTAATATGTACTATAATTAACCTATCCACCTTAGGTTAAAACTGAATATTCATCAAAATTAAGAAAACTCAGCAATTAATAAATTGTTCAGTTATAGAATAGTTTTTCACATGTAAAGATGTCATCGTTGTCGACAACTGACACAAATTCCATCAGGCATTGTTAAGATGCAACTGATATATGTTATCTGAGTGACCTTCTAGAATAATTAATTCAGACCTCTTCAAAATTGACGAAGAACATTTAGTTGATATATATATATAAGTAAAAATAAAGAAAATCATAAAATTGGCGCAATTAGATGATTTTTTTTATTGGCGCAAATTAGTTCATTTTTGGCGCAAAAAGATATCGCCCGTTGCGCGGAACCCCTTACAAATTTTTTACAATTAACATTTACAGACAGTCTGGGATTAAATTATTTTGACATGATAAATTTGTAAACCTTATTGGATTGTTATGAAACTTTGACAGAAGTAATCTTCAAGACAAAGAAAAAGCATCTAAAGAAAAATTTTAATTTTTTTTTAAACTCTGTATTTTACTGGTAGGCCCTGTACTGACCTCTAGATGTCTTTTGGTTTTTTCTTGTGTTGCCGGGTTACTGTCTCATTGACATATACCCCACGTCTCTTTTTATTCATTCAAAGTTTCATAACAATCCAATAAGGTTTACAAATTTATCATGTCAAAATAATTTAATCCCAGACTGTCAAATAGTGAGCTGTGAGTAATTTTGAAACATGACGATATACAAATAAAACATTTTATACAATCTTTTTATCTTGTTTACTCAATTAAAACAGTGCTACTTATCAGGAAAGGAAATGATTTCTATTCAATCATTATTCTGAGACAAATTCAGGTTCCACAAATAACTTTCAGGAATGAGCTTTAATTTACTTATGCCATTTACTGACATTAAAAAATAGCAAAAAATGATAAAAAAAAATAATTTTAATATCTAAATTATATCACATAGTATTTATGAATCTGACCCTGAGTGTCATCACAATTGTATATTAACGAGTCTTTGGTCTATATGCCTTTAGTTTCAAGAATGAAGAGAAGCCAAATATAAAAGTCTGTATTGTCCACTTTATCGTTGCACTTGTACTTAGTTTTCTCTCCCTAGAAAAAAATAATACGCTATTATTATCATCATAGACTACATTTCCAAACCGTTCTATGTAAAAATAAAGAGTAGTTGAAACAGTTTCTCATTGTACTTTCATTTAATTAATGATTTTAAAAAAGTATGGTGAGATGAGATTTTTGAAAAATAACAAAATAAAAAAAAAGGTTACATTGCCAGTTTTAGAGAAAATCTAAGTAAAATTGAAGAATTTTTTAATTTAAAAAAATAAAATACAGCTTTATTTTTAAGCAGTTTGAAAGAATTAAATAGGCTGTAAGTGACCTAATATGTATTTTATATAGGGCAAGAGCGCAACCCCTGATCCAGAAAATTAGTTTGTTCAGGGATTTAATATAAAATTTCAGCACCATTTGGTTAAAGAACATTTTTGATTGTAGGTTGCTGTCATGTTTTTTCTTTTTAAATGAAGTTATAGATCGAGTTTGAGTCCCTTCAGGTTGAGCTTTTTTTCGCATGAGTTGTGGCCCTTGGACATAGAAAACTGTATGTAAATTTAAGTTTTTCATACTTTTTCTGTAATACCTGTATCAGTGGATTAGACATTTGGTAAACCATTATATCATAAGAAGTTACAAATCGAGTTCAGGTTTCATTTCTATTGAGAAATTTTTGCCAAAGCACTAAGAGAATTGCTTTCAAATATCAGTATTAGAAAAATATTTATATATCACATAGGCATCACATGCTGACCAAATATATTTAATACACAGCATTTTCAAGGGTTAACATCCTTGACATTGTCTGATTTAAGACAGCATTTGTTAAATGTTCAAATAAATAACAGACAGTCTTTTCTTAAAGCAAATATCAGATAGTTAGTAGGATATAATGATTCAACATGTCTTCAGTAATCTAATATGGTATATACAAGGTAAGTAAGTATGGGAACAAAAGTATCCTGTTTAATATTGTAATCTTATTTGAAAATACCATGATTCCATGTGCAAATACTCATACAACAATAATTAACAAAGTTGGAAAATAATCTCATTATGGTGTAAAGTTACATTCAGAAATTAAAATAAGTGAAACCAAAATATAAAAAAATAAGTAATTTCTTTATCCCACTTTATATTTAATTATCCAATCATACATTTGTATGTTAATAATCTTCAGGTGTAACACCACTAATTCGTGCCCGGTCAGAAAGCACATACCAGAAAGTAGTTCATATTTAATACAAAATAGTTCCTACACATGGGTGTAACTTTCAAAATATGTAGAATATTTTGGTAATTTTGGTATCAAATGAAAGCTGAATGACTGGTGATAGTTGTAGAATACTTTTTGACTTATAATTTTGAATAATAAAACAACTGGATGAAATTTAAAAAGGATGGTACATTTTGCCTGTTTGTCAGATCTGAAGTACCTGTTTTGGTTCATCCGAAGTTGTGGGAACCAGTTCTCTCTTATATGCCATTAAAGGTATGTTGATTTTTTCAGTACAATACACCATAAGGTGTTGCTTTGACATGCAATGATTGCCACTTTATTTGAACTTAAGACAAAAGAGCTGTGCCTGCTTGAAATTGAGGAATTTAACATACAAAGAAATGGGACCATGAATTAGTGGTGTACTTCCTTCAATTTATAAGTGGGTTGAACAAGGTTGATACATGTACTGTATGATATATTTTCCATTCGGTTAACTGACAAGGACTTTATAAAAATTTCCAGGAATGTACAGTTTTTACACACTGAACACCTTTCTTGAGAATAAGTGACGAAAACAATTATTACCTTGCTAGATGTACTGTATACACTGATTCTGCTGCATGTATTAAAACTGTTGCAACAAATCTGTAAAGAATAATTATCTGCATATAATGTAGGAATTATCAATAAATCGTCAGTATATTCATGTAGATAACGACTATATATAACATAAAGTTACAGATGAACTTATCTGAAGAATATATGCTTTTTGTACAGGTGTAATACTTTGCTACCCTTTAAACTCAATTAAATGATATTCAGCATACTATACACTGTATTGAAAATTAAAATTCCATATTCCAAATTCTTAGTATATGCAATTTTTATTTTGCGTTGAATATGGTGGAATATTTACATTCGAATATAATTTATTAGATAGAAAACATTTTAAAGACTGTAATTGGGAAATGATTTATAAATATTGTGACTTACAATCCAAGTATTCCATTTGGATAAGTCTCTCCAAGATATGTTCCAAATCTTCCAACAGGTCCTAAGAAACTTGGAATTGATTTTGGGCTGAATGTAGATGCCTAAAATGAAAAGTAAAATATTTTGTCAGCCAATGTCTTCTGTAGTGTTAAAAAAAGTCTGGAAGACTGCATTTTTGTAATAACAATAATACATAAAAGCAACAACATACATGTGAACCTCCCTACGGGAGTACAATAATCCCGTTTTCAGGGGTCTCCTCCCGACCTCCCGTTGAAGAGAAAAAATCCCGTGTATGAAATATTTCATGAATAAAAAATTTCAGCCCCAACATATCCGGTGTAACTGACATTACCTGAAGTTATATTTAACCTGTAAATCAATTAACATGCATAATTATATGGCTTCACTTGTCAGCTTGGGTGTCAAACATACTGGTAATCAACCGATTTTTACCTCAGGCATGTACAAGGGTACTATAAACATAATACATTCGGGTGGAAAGTTGAAGAAACACACTTTAAAAGACAATTTCTACAGCACACGGTTACATTTACGACCAAATTTATGTCGATTAAAAACCTCCTGATCTGAGTCCTAATCTCCTGACCAAAATTTCCCAATCTCCTGATCTGAGTTTCACAGTCCATCAAATGTATGCAACAATATAAAAATAAGGAGATGTGATATGATTGCCAATGAGACAACTATCCATTACAGTTAAAATGAAGTTGATTTAAGCAATTATAGTCAACAGTACAGCCTTCAACAATAAGAAAAAACCATACCCTATAGTCAGCTATAAAAGGCCCAGACATGAAAAATATGAAATAATTCAATTGAGAAAACTAATGGCCTAATTTATAAAAAAACAACACAACCTAAGAGCAAACTTTTTAAATCAGTTGAAAAGATTTCGGGGCCTTTTATAGCTGACTATGTGGTATGGGCTTTGCTCATTGTTGAAGGCCATATGGTGACCTATAGCTGTTAATTTCTGTGTCATTTGGTCTCTTGTGGAGAGTTGTTTCATTGGCAATCATACCACATCTTCTTTTTTATATTAACTCATCAAATCGATAAATAGCAGAAAAAAACATCTAACAAAAAAACAGACCCGACATGGCAGGGTATTTGTAAATCCCTAACATGCCTAACAATAAAAAAGACAAAGTACAGATCTGAGAGTACTTGCAGTTACTTTTTAAACGATTTCTGGATAAAGACCTCTGTTGAAGACTTGGATTAGCTCTGAGGTAGCAATACACAGTATGGAGTGTAGTCCCACATTTTGGTCATGATGGATTTTTCAAATATGAAAGTTATTGTGCAATAAAATTCATTTTTAGACAGCTGATGACTAATAAGGCCTTCAAAGCGGCTTTAGAGGAACATCAAGATTACTTTTACATTTTTTATGGGACCGTCTGTATTTTCATATCCATACTGTAGGTCTAGAAATTATTGTAATGATTACAAACACTTTTTTTTTTTCACAAACTTTTTGATGGAATTTTACGAAAAAATACGATGGGAGACAGATGATTTTTATTTGATCTCTTGGTAGATATACGTAAACAGTTTCAGAAAAGGTATCACTCCAAGGGATTAAAATTCTACTTTTAGCCAAATTTTGGGGAAATGTGTGATATCTTCACACCCCTTTTTGCAATATTTCATAGCAAATAAATGCAGATTGTTGCCATGGATACACCAAAAAGAAATTATATTTAATCATTTTAAATACTGGAAATGAAATCTATGGAAGATACTGATTACATACATATGCACATATATAACAAACACTAAGCTTAATTTGTAAGAAAGCAAGGAAAAGGGGATGGTAAAATTCATGAGGGTAAATTTTAAGTTTTTTTCCTAACTGTATATTGCTACCTGATCCTTTGAAGGTCAGTTTGCCTCTGTTGACAGCAATGATTTTTCTACCCTGTATACTAAACTAGATTAACAAGATACCAAGAGTATAGTTGCCTATAATTGCTTACATCCACTTCATTTGAACTTTGGTGGATAGTTGTCTTATTCTTATATTATACAGCTATTGAAAACCTTTAGCAAAGCTAGTGTTTTCTAAAGAGTTCCTTACCAGATGTAAGAGCACCAGTCAGAAGAACCAAAATATGTATTGTTGAAAATTTACTGGGTGAAGAAATAAAACTAGATTTACAAGGTTTCTTCTGTACTTTTTTGGTGTTTAGGGGGGAGGATGCTAATGCAGTGGCAACTTTTAACAAAAAATCCCTTTGAAATCAGAACATTTTTTTAAACAATAAGTTAGCATAACCCCAACTTTAACAGGTTGGTGAAGATCCTCATAAATAGGTATTATTCCCATTTATGGGTATTATACCCAAAATCGGGTACCAATTTACAGTGATAAAAAATAAAATTTTGTATTTCATCTGTTTCTGTTTCTGTTAATAACTTCTGCCAATCAAGGCACACCTCCTGGAAACCGGAGTACAGTATAAACGTATAAATAAATACACTGAATATCCTCCACCAAATATTTACACCAGATCCATAGGAATATATATATATATACAAGGATAAGAGTTCTTTATCCACACATTTAAAATAAGAATGTCCGATCTTAAAATCTAAAAAATATGGTAAAAGCACACTTTAGGAATTTGAGTATTGCCAATAGGTGATCTGACCACAACAGAGCATTTACTTATGTTTAACACTACGTTTTCTACTCTTCTTTTTAGGAAAAATGTTCAACAATTATTACCGTTTATTGTGTAATCTATAGATAAGATATCTACACAGAGGTTCTAAATGAGTATTAATGTGATTAGTAAGCTCTTTATGTGCTGAGGTGATACAGTAAGCATATGGATTCACTACAACAGTTAGAAGATCTATTTCTACTGAAAGGCTATATTTAGCAAAAAGCAGGCGACAAGTGTTGGTGATTTGTTCAAGAATATGTTTACGTATATATTCTAGCTGGGTACAACCAGTCTCTTCACTACAATTGCAGAGCATACAGACTACATCTATTTTGTTTTGATTAAAAAAGGGGGCTCTATTTGTTTGGAGAATGTATGTACCAGTAGCAATTTTTAGCCGTACTGGTATTCTCGAAATATCTCTGATGTTTGCATCTACAGTTCTTGCTATAGGATGACATTGTCCTACTGTATAGCTCATTTCCAAATATGCTAATGTAGGATACATTCTAGATTCATCATTAATACGTTTTTTCCAATAATTATTGACTTTTTTTGTTATTAATTTTTTCCATAGGATTTTGGATAACGGATTGCCAAGCAAACTATAAAGGTCATCAATGTCATATTTCAGGCATAGCTTTTTTATTTGATGAACCAACTATCACTTCTCATGTTTTTAATACTGAGCTGTCTCTCTGAAATTCTCCATTCAATTGACCTCTTCTCTGATCTACTGATATTACCAAATAAAATAAATGCCCTTTTATGAATTTCAGCCTCTGCTACATTTGTAGTCAGAGATAATATTTGCTTCAGCATCTTTTTATATTGCTTGTTGATTAAATCCAGATTTTTTCCTTTAGGGATTAACATCTCAAATCCATATAGCATAGCTGGAATTATATAAGTTTTAAGTAAACTGACGGCAGTAACCAGGTCTAATCCATTTTCACCATGTAAGCCAGTTGCCATTAAGCTATATAGAGATCTCCTTGCTTTTTTAAGGTTCTCTTCAATCGTAGCAGATGCAGAGTCTTTATATGCTCTCTGAATGCCAATATGGGGAGTTTTGTTAACAAAAGGCATCAATTCACCATTCAAATCTAAACTTATATTATCAAATGCTTTATTTGACATTCTAACAGGGAGGATGACACTATAAGTTGGTTGTAAATGGTACCCTTCACGTTTGCTATAATCTGATGCTATATTGAGGCTCCTCATGGGGGTGTCCAAGTAATCACATAATCACAAATTTTTTGCCAATATAATCACATAATCATTAATTATTTTTTTAAACAAGATAATCAAATAATCAAAAATACAGTCCTAGATTATCAAATAATCAAATAATCATGAAATATTTGGTCTGGTAATCAAATAATCACTATAAAAACGGCCAAGTATCACATAATCAAAAACCCAATGAGGAGGCTCTATATTGACCATTGCTTGTAGGTTGTACGGATTGTCATTTACTAATGCTATATCGTCCGCACAGGTGGGGGCACAGCAAGAAGTAGATCCAATCTTTCCGCCAAGGTTAGAGTCTTCTAGAAGATTTAGTAATTGGTTTACATATATTTTATATAGGTAGGCGCTTAAAGTTCTGCCTGTTCAATATCAAAAGATTCTGATGGTTGTCCATTCCATTTTATCTTGGTAGTTGCATTTGTATATAGACTGTCTATTAAGAGTACTGACTGTTCTGAGATTCCAAGATGATATAATTTCCGTATCAGGTTAGAATGACTGACAATATCAAATGCGGATTTTGCATCAAGCATTCCTAAGATTTTTGGTTTCTTTAGGTCCTTATTTTCTCTTTCAAATTCGTCTAGCTGATATGCGGTAGGTCTTTTCACCACCGAACACCACCGCACACCGCCGAACACCCCAAAAATTTATATTTTTGAACTCTTATTGTTATAAATGTGACCTAAATATAATATTTTAGTTATTAATTCAACAAATAACAAGGTTAAGAGAACAAATATCTATATCGAACAGAAAAGGAGAGTCTATAACACTACAACTCTGCAAACCACCACTGGACACCTCAAATAATTTTTTACTTCATTTTTTTTTTCTTTTAATTTTTTTTTTCTTCTTTTATAAAATAGTTGTACCAATAACAAGATAAGAGAAATGAACAAATGTTAAATATTTCGGGTAACTAATATCCTTCATCAGTAATTGATGTCAAATGATTCTTATATACACACAATGTAATCCAGAAAAACAGTGATGAATCCGGAGACGTTTTTCTTTATATGGATTATATTGATTATCGACTTTAACAGAAAAATGATGCCTATAAACACCTAAAAAATTGTTAAATTAGACGTAATTTAATTGATTTTACCGTTTTATTTTCTCAGTGGTTGATGGTTTTTTTTGGGTGTTCAGCGGTGTTCGGTGGTGTGCGGTGATGTTCGGTGGTGAAAAGACCCACCCGCTGATATGATAGCTGTCATGATAGCTGTTATGGCGCAAATATTCATATAAATGGCAACATTTTTCCCTTTAAGACCATAGTTCAAATGAGATACAAAGATAATGGCATAGTTGCCAACTCACATGATATTCGTGTGTAATACACGCTTTTTCGACGGTTTACACGCGAGAATTTTGTCACATGGCGTGTACACGCTTATAGTCACTTTACACGCCATTACACGCTTTTAAAGTGTATGGAAATAATTGTCCGTATTTTTATATCGAATTACCGATAAAAGGTATAGCCCAAATCCTATTGTGCAAACCCAAACAGGCTTCGGGAATCTGAAGAAGTTGTCACTCATAATTTTTCTGTTTTTGGATCGTCTGACATTTTATTATCATGTGATCATTGCAATCACTAAGAACAACAAAGCCCAAAAAATAATGCACAGCTACGTACAAAAGTAAAGAAGACAAATTGAATCAAATCAAATAAGATAAAATATATTTAAAGTCGGTAAAAAGCATACAATACAGTAAAACATAAGATCTTTAGAGTTTTTAAAACCGACATACTAAAAGAGAGGCGAAAGATACCCAAAGGGACATTCAAACTCATATGTTGAAAATAAACTGACCGTCAACGCTGTGGCTTAAAAAAAGAAAAAGACCAAAAAGAAAAACAACAGTACACAAAACACAACATAGATGATAGAAAACTAAAGACTGAGCAACACGAACCCCACCAAAAACTTGGGGTGATCTCAGGTGCTCCGGGAAGTGTAGGCAGATCCTGCTCCACATGTGGCACCCGTGCTGAAAAGTACATACATAACAAAAACGTCAGACAAATATGCAAGAACACAGAAAAAAGTCAAGTTATCAACAAAGACACAGGCCTAGCAAAGCAATAATAGCAGAATTAAAACATAATGATTATCAAAGCTTAAAACTAATAAGCACTAGTTTGCCGCTGAGTAACTCGCGCACACTACATTGATTAATCTCAGCACTAGTAGAACACATTTTAACATAATAAAATTATTCAACTATTTAAACTATTCTGTTAAGGGATCCAAACAAGAGTCCATGTGTCAATGACGCGTTAGAGTCCTGTTCAGGGTCCCAAAACAAGGAAAATTTAAACCGAGATTTGACACCATAAGTATAAGATATAAATTTAATATGCATTTAGAAACTATGCAAGTCAAGCGTAAGCAACTAGAAAAATATATATGTTTACTTGTCAGACACACCGCTCTAGAGTCATTGGAAGACATAGATCTATCAACAAAAAGAACAAGCACATCCCTGCGCCCTCCCTTTCCCACTTATCAGAAGTCCCTTAAACTTTTATTTTATAGACGGTAATTTAGACTCAATTAGCTGATCATACGAGCTATTTTCTTCGTCATATATAAATTATATACATTCTCTTGTATCTTTTCTATATATTTTTTTTTGGTGTTAGTCTCACCACAAAAATGTCAAACCAAAGAGCAACAATTAAAACATGACTAAATGAAAGAATGGTGTATGGTAAGTTTGCTCAGTTTATCTAAATTTTTACCAATTCTCTTCAGGACATTTAGCTGTTGTAATGCCTGTCTACAAATGTAAGATATTTGACTATTAGAATTTAATTTAAAGTCAAAAGTGACATCCAAAAGCTTTACTTCATCTTCACATTCTATATTATTACCAAATTATTACTAAATTAAATATGATATTTTTAACATGTGCTTTTTTTTTACCTATAGATATAGCCTGAAATTTATCTGGGTTGGCTTGCATGTGATTGTCTGTAAACCACTTTATTGCATCATATTGAGCTTTCGGTCTCCAAAGTATTGACAACATCATCTAAATGTTTGCTACCATATGAGAGAGTATTGTCATCACCATGATTATAAATTTACTTTTTGAAATAAAAAAAAAAATGTCATGTATAAAATAACACTGCTTATATATTTTAAGATAGGTGCAGCCTTGCTGCAGCGTATGTCTACTGTGTAAAAAGATAAGAAACGATAGTAAAATTCATTTCTATTTAGCATAAATAAAACACACAACCTGTATGGAGATTTTGTCCGAATGTTAGAATAAATTTGTGACTGCGGAATATAACTAACCATGAACAAGAACTAATAAACGTTTTTGCCTTGACCGAAACAGCAGCATAAGCAAACACCCTTAGAGCATTATTAGTATCTAGGACTACTAGAGTATGTATTGTATATAAGTCACTGATAGTATCAATCAGCTAATTTGAAAATTTGGCATTCGATGTATAGCATAGCAACTACCACACATGCATTGAACCTGAGGTTACTATAACACAGTGTTAAAGTAATCTAAGATTGAACTGAAAAAATATAACACAACGGAAAATTAAAAAAAAAATGCATCTGAGAGAGGAAAATAAATATTCAAGGTAAAAATAAATAAAATAAAACCATGACAAAATAAAGGATGACTTTTTAGAAATGCTTTAGTAAGCATTTTGAAAGAAAACATAAAAGCAACTAAATCAAAGATTAATTTGTTTACCTGGCAGTGTACTGTATAAAAAATTATCAAAAAAGCCATGGTATAATTTTCTACACCAAACGCGCGTTTCATCTACTAAAGGCTGACCAGTGACACTCGAATCAAATAAGTTAAAGGACAAATAAACTAAGCACAAAGTTAAAGAGCATTACAGCTAATGTAATCTATTCATGAGGTGGAAATCCTTTGTATTTCGAACAATTCAAAATAAAAATAAGAAGATGGGATATGATTGCCAATGAGACAACTCTCCACAAGAGACCAAATAACCTGGAATTTAACAACTGTAGATCACCGTACGGCCTTCCGCAATGAGCAAAACCCATGCCACATTGTAACCTACAAAAGGCTCCGAAATTACAAATGTAAAACAAATCAAACGAGTAAACTAACGGCCTGATCTATGTTCAAAACAATAAACGACAAAAAATATGATATCCAGCAACACACGACAACCACTGAATTACAGTCTCCTGACTTGCTGTCACCAAACCCTTACCCTAACATGGAACAGGGGTGTAACAGTACAACACAAGAACAATTAAACTATAAGAATTGCTTAACTCATCAGATCGATACACAACACAAAAAATAACAAAAACAAACAAACAAACACAAAAACGAAAACAAAAACAAAAAAACAAACAAAAACAAAAACAAAAACAAAAACAAAAACAAAAACAAAAACCACAAAAGACACATAGTACAGATCTTAGAGTACTCGCAGTTACTGGAAGCTAGTTTGAAGACAATAACAACTATAGATAAACAAATCATGTATCTAAGATAAAAGATATCAATAATCAGTACTCATCCATTATCCAATGGATTTAGTGTAAAGACGTCATTCACAGTGAGAGAAAAGTATGACCTAATGTGCAAAATAAAGATATCGACAGATTGTAGGACAGTGAATGCACATATGTGTAAAACAATGATATTTAGTTTGTTTTTACTTTATTAAAGTATTAGAAACGATTTACAAATATTATATTACTCTTTAAAGTGTGAACTGCTGTTTTCACTCCTGAAATGATTTGGAAAATTATACCTGCAGCATAATTAAAAGATTGTTTCCTGAGGCACATCCTCGTTATATAGTTTAATACATGAAAACATAGACTGTTGTTATTAGGTAACTATTATCTTAAATGTTTCTAGCGCTATAGTTCTTATTCTTCTGATCCGCAAAGACGACACTTTAGCTATATTCAGAAATCTTTATGTGAACTGGCAAACTGTCGTAGACAAAACGGAGTGCTCTTTCCAGTACTTTTCCTGTGTTGGGGAAAGTTTCCACTGTACAAAATGCCTTGTCAAATGGTAAAAATTAAAATAAATCAGTATACAACTTAGTTGGTTTCCTGATTTTATTTAGATAAGGGTCCGAACTTTTTTTTTGCATTTACAAAAAAGACAAATTATTGTCATTTACATAATTATATCGGAAGCTATTTATAATTATAAAGGGAGCTATATTAAACAAACAAAAATATATCGTTGATGAGAACATTAAATGATATAAGGGTCCCAAAATTGAGCCCCGTGGTACATCTTTAGTGTTGTCAACTCAACTCCTCACTTACTTTAATCTGTTGTTTTCTGCTTGTCAAATAAGATTTAAGGAGATCAATTGATATCGAAGAAACACCAGACAATTGATCTAATAACATATCGAGAAACATACATTCAAATGCTTTAAATAAGATCCATAAGTACAACAGCAATGATTTTTATCAAGGGTTCATGCCAGTCTTCTAGTAATCTGAGTATAGTGTTTTCTGATATTAATGTCCACCTCGAAATGTACATTATATATACATTAAATTATATTTTTTTAAATTGACGATTGTAATTCAAAAACCTTAAAAAAAATTGGAAGATGCCCCTGAACAGGTCTATATTTGGGTTTTATAAGAGATCAATCTTTTTTTTAAAGGAGGGATAACCTGTGCTTCTTTCATAATATTTGGAAAACACTTTTTTCAACTGATAAATATATCTGTGTGCAATAACTTCTTCTACAATGCTTCACAAATATCGCAGAAATGCCTTCGGCACCTACGGTCTTTTTAATGTTAATTTCATTCATATATTTTCTCCTTTATCAGAAGTAGTTTCAGCACGAAAATGCAAAAGTCAAATTACTCTCAATGTTCTTCTTTATCTGTTTAATACTTTGGTAATTTGAGGGATCTTCCCTTATGGTCTCAACTACAGTTGGATAACATTTTCAATTATTCTGAGACCTCTGTAGAATTGTTTATTATTGTACTCTTTTCTCAGCAGTTCATGCTTCCTAGAGTTACATTTTTTTCGTTTTTTTGTCAGTAAAGAATAATGGTCAATTTCTTCAATTTCTTTTCGAATAGATGTGTTTATTAGTTGCAATTGGCTTTGAACTAGCTTTCAGTAACTGCCATTACTCTTATTTCTGTGATTTGTGTCTATTGTTATTAAGAGTTTTTGTGCCTCGTATCGCTCTTTTGAGTTAAGCCAATTGCAGCTGATTTTTACAGTTTGTTCTTATGTTGTGCTGTTACACCACTGTCCCAGGTCAGGGGAGGGTTGAGCGCTCACAAATATTTTGAACTCGTAACATTCTTTTATGTATCTGTCCCAAGTCAGGAGCCTGTAGTTAAGTGGTTGTCATATGTTAATGTCTGTCAATTTTTTTTTTCGTAAATTGTTTTGTTATAAATTAGCCAATTAGTTTTTTATCGTTTGAATTGTTTCACATTTTTCGTATCGGGGCCTTATATAGCCGACTATACAGTATCGGTTTTTCTCGTTGTTGAAGGCGATTTGTTGTGTAACAGCACAACATAAGAACAAACTGTAAAAATCAGCTGCGATTGGCTTAACTCAAAAGAGCGATACGAGGCACAAAAACTCTTAATAACAATAGACACAAATCACAGAAATAAGAGTGGTATTAATTGCTTACAACCACTTTATTTGAACATTGGTGGATATATCTTATATTCCACATTAATTGATGTAAATAAACCTTTTTCTATAAATGAAAGGCGATGTAGGTTTTCTATCAATGAGACAGCAGTCCAAACACACACACACACACACACACACACACACACACACACACACAAAACAGACATTCACACCCAAAAAAACAGACATACAGTCTTCAACAGTAGGCAGATGTCTACACTATGTAAAGCTTTTAATCGTCTCCGAGTATTACATGTCGTATAATTCAGTTCTCAGGCGATGTTTAGATGTTTAAGCATTGGTGAATAGTTATTTCTGACATGCAAAAAACTTAATTGATTAAGACAGACAAAAAAAAAGACGGAATAATGAAGTTATTGTGTTAGGTTGCTGACCCAATGACTATTACCCAAAGCGCTTGGGCTACTGTCTCGTTGACTATTACCCAAAGTGTTTGGGCTACTGTCTCGTTGAAGGTAACCCCACATCTCCTTTTATTAATAATGTAGACTTTAAAATGAAGTTTCTTTATTTATCTAAGGTTAGGAAATTGCCTTGCACCCTTCTCTTTTTTCAATTATCCCTTTCCATCAACTGTGCCGACAAAACCTCCCAAATTGACTAACAGTTACTGTTGAATATGTTATTGTCTAAAATTTCGCTTGACACTGGACGTCAGTTAACAACTGTCAGTTACTTATATCAATCTACGTGGATATTGAAATCTTGATTATTTTTCACCAACCATCAGACATTGGGATTACCCGAGTAAACAGTACGTCAGTTCTTTGATTTTGTATTATTGGGAACTTAAATCATTTTTCAGCAAAATTTGCAAAAGATGGTACTAATGACAGTTTTCAACCCAGATCCTTGAATATTTACAATCAGATTGCTCACAGATTGAAGTTGTACTTCTACTATTATGGATCTTTTGATGAATTCGTTCCCATTTTCCCCAGACTTGGAAACTGATTCTTTTTCCAGCAAAATTTACAAAATAAGGGTACTCTTATTTTTACTAGGCATAATCAAATGTTGCCTTAAATTTCAACCCAGATAATTGAAACTTCACAGTATTAAAGTTGTGCACCTATACCATGTCCCGGAGTTGCGGATCCAGGGTGGTGTTCCGGGGGTTGGAACCCCCCCCCCCCCCCCCCATGTGTTTGACAACTTATGCTTTTGTATGGGGACATATGGTTGAAACCCCCCTTTTTATAAGAATTTCATGTGATTGAACCCCTAATTAAATTATAATAAAAATCAGGAATGTAAGCGGTATATTAAAGCGACAGTAGTTAACTGATGTTCAAATCTCGCAAATCGACCAGGAAGAGACATATCAAAGTAACAAACAGAAACCGAGGGAATCGCATTAAAACGCCACAATCGGAAAAGGAACAAATCGGTAATCATACAGACACGAGACGGCTCCACTGGCATCTAAATATCTGACACCGCCATAACATGTCGTTATTGTGACCGTACAATTTACTAGTATGTGGTGTCGATTTCAGCCGTTCTTCCTCATAACTTTGTTGGCGCAGTTCGTGTGTGAGGATCACAGCCCTGTTAATAAAGCCCGTATAGTGTGACCATTCACGATCATAACGTATATAAATGAGATATGTAAACGCCATACGATTGGGCAGAGGGCATGTTACTGCTGAGAAATGGAAACTTTACTATTTGAAAGGTGAAATCATCACGTTTTACATAGATTCTTGTTATTGTAATTACTGTATGTACCCTAAGGGGACTAGATTAGTAATGTCACCGTGCGTAGTTCCGCAGAGTTTAAACGTTTCATTTAGGAACCCAACTCTTATATGGAAAAAGAAGAATATATTATATAACTATAGCCTTTGTATGAGGTCGATACGAGGTTATATCGACCTAAGAGAAGCATATTGACTGAGGACGAAGTCCGAGGTCGATATGCTTCTCTATGTCGATATAATTAGTTATCAAAGGTACCAGGCTTATAATTTCATACGCCAGACGCGCGTTTCGTCTACATAAGACTCATCAGTGACGCTCAGATCAAAATAGTTAGAAAGCCAAACAAGTATAAAGTTGAAGAGCATTAGGACCCAACATCGTTTTGACCTCAACCAAAGGCTACAATTGTTATATTATTAATCAACAACTATTGCATGTCAATGTAAAATTGGTGATTTATAGAATGTATTTTTAGTAACATGCTGTATGCCCTATGCAGTATATGCTGTTTTTGACCTACGAAAAGCTAAAAATACTACAGTAGTCCCAACTATGTACTGGCTTCCGAAGCTACACAAATCACCTTACAAATATAGATTTATTTCGTCTTCAAGTCATTGTTCCACTACTAAATTGTCTATTCTACTTACTAGTACACTTGGTACAATCAAAAACCTGATAATAAATTGTTTAAATGAGGCCTTTGAAGATAGTGGAAGTGTCAAAAACTTGTTGGAAGTACTTAATAAATTGCATGCATATATTGGTGATTTTGAATCTGTTCAAAGTTTTGATTTTTCTACCCTATATACCACTTTGCCTCATATTCTCATTAAGAAAAAATTCACACACCTAATTAAATGGGCATTTAAAAAGTCGGAATGCGAATACATATGTTCAAACTCTTTTAGGTCATTTTTTAGTAGCAACAAACAAAAGAGCTATGTCAATTGGACATGCTTTGATACTATATCTGCCCTTGAATTTTTACTTGATAACATTTTTGTTCGCTTTGCAGATTACGTATATCGTCAAGTTATCGGAATTCCAATGGGGACTAACTGTGCACCACTTATTGCGGACCTGTTTTTGTATTGTTATGAGTTACAATTTATGACTAAAATCAGCAAAGACCCATCGAAACAACATCTGATACAAAAAATTAACAATACTTTTAGATATTTGGATGATATATTGGCTCTCAATAATGACGACTTCAGTATGTATACTAAAGAAATTTATCCTGTTGAACGTACTTTAAATAAAGCTAATACTAACAATGACCACTGTCCTTTCCTCGATCTTGATATATATATCATTAACGGGAAGCTTAATACAAAAATTTATGATAAAAGAGATGATTTTTCATTTCCTATCGTTAATTATCCATTTTTAGATGGTGACGTTCCCTTGTCACCATCTTATGGTGTTTATATATCCCAACTTGTACGATTCGCTCGTGTATGTAACAACGTATTAGATTTTAGCGAGAGAAATTTATGTATTACTGAAAAATTATTACACCAGGGTTTTCGATATCATAAACTAGTCAAAACATTTACTAAATTTTATCATCGGTATAAGGACATCATTCGTAAATATAACTCAACATGCAGACATCTTATACGTTCGGGTATTTCACATCCAATCTTTTATGGTAATATTCTTTACAAAGCACAAAAATGTCAGTATTCACCTCAAAAGCTAACAAAACCTTTAAACAGACTTATTAAGAAGGGATATAGTTACGATAGTCATACTGTTGTCAGGTCATTAAAGATTGCATATTTTGGCTTTAATATTGATTCACTTATAGGGTCTTTGCATCGGAATTAAACATATTTATTCTCAAACCAGTTGTTGGCATGACACGGGTTATGTTCTTCTCATATATTTTATGATGGTATAATACTAAACCCCTAACAGGAGGGATTGTGCCTGATATTCATATGATGAAGACATAATCTTTCAATCAGTTTAATTGAGGTCTGGAGCTGGCATGTCAGTAACTGCTAGTAGTCTCTTGTTATTTATGTATTATTGTCATTTTGTTTATTTTCTTTTGTTTCCTATTCTAACATCGGACTCGGACTTCTCTTAAACTGAGTTTTACTGTGCGTACTGTTGTACGTTTGTTTTTTCTACATTGGCTGAGGTATAGGGGAAGGGTTGAGATCTCAAAAAACATGTTTAACCTCGCCGCATTTTTGCTCCTGTCCCAAGTCAGAAGCCTCTGGCCTTTGTTAGTCTTGTATCATTTTTAATTTTAGTTTCTTGTGTATAATTTGGAGTTTAGTATGACGTCCATTATCACTGAACTAGTATACATATTTGTTTAGGGGCCAGCTGAAGGACGCCTCCGGGTGTGGGAGTTTCTCGATGCATTGAAGACCCATTGGTGGCCTTCGGCTGTTGTCTGCTCTATGGTCGGGTTGTTGTCTCTTTGACACATTCCCCATTTCCATTCTCAATTTTACAGTATTGGCGTGCAAACTGAGTAAATACAAATGTACATGTGATAAAGATTTAACGAATTACAAATCCCTTATAATATTCGATTAATAATATGTGTATGATATGTCTGTGCCGAAATCTACCTATTCAGTTTTCCATAACTTAGTTTTCGAGATCACCAGTCTATTTATTTTCACGGGAAATTTCGATATAAAAGTACTGCCGTTGCGTAACTGTAAAGATTTAAAAGTGGTGTTTGTTCACGTTAAAAAAATAAGGAAAATATTTCTCTGATCGTATGTCCTTCTTACTTCAAATTATCTGAGTTGAGGGAGAATTTACCGTTCCCTGCCGCAATTTGGCACATGTATTGGGTTCATTTAAATAGGCTGAATCTGTCCAATCCATTTGTTTAAATACAAGCTTAAATCTTTGAATTGAGCATGAGAATAGTATATTGTCAATAGTTTATGTCCAACATTGAGCACAGGTTGAACTTTTGTTGAAGTCAGACAAGCTTTTTTAAATAGCTAATACTTGAATTTCTCCCCTGTTTTATCATTCATACGAAAGATTTGTGGCAGAGTTGTTGTGGTGTTTAATGAATTCACATTAAACACGAAATATAAAAGATGAATTTTTTGTTCATAAAAACCAAGGTTTGGAAATACGAATGACCTTAGCACTGTAAAAAAGTCGGTCAAGTGGTAGGTCAGACTGATTTCCTGACGTCACTTCCCATCATTCGTAGCTGTAATGTCCGCCGTCAGTCCTGTACAGTAAATCTCATGTAAGCTGAACTTGTTTTATAACGAATACGAGTTCTATAGAGCCATGTCCTCAAAATTATGAATTAAACTTATCAACAAAAGATGGGAGATCAATATTTAGCGTATTGTCTCTCACAGGCAAGCTTCACATGGGCGTTAAAAAGCAAAGTTATCTGTTGTTGAAGGGATGAATATGGCAGCTAACTCCGACAAGATGGCAGTAACTGACAACCAATCTATTCCTATTCATGGGTCTGATTCTAGAGAAGATACAGACATGAAACTTCAAGGTAAATCTACCAATGATGGCAATTATAAAAAGAAAAGTACATTCAAAATAACAAGTGTTACTAAAAGTTATCATGGGTCAGCAGACTTGTCAAATGATGCTGATCATGACATTGAACATGATTCAATGGATGATTTAGATGAAACTGTAGAAAGTCATACTGAAGATGCCAGTTCAGAAATTTTAGATATTTCAAAACATACTGATGGCGGTGAGCCTGCATCACCCATGGAGGAGGAAACTTCTGATCATGCTATAAACTCTGGCATTAGTAATAAAGAAGTTAACATTAAAACTGAACAAATGAATAGCAGTAGCAATGTAAAAGAAATAAATGTGAAAGAAAAGGAAAAGACAGAGCAGCAAGGTCCACATCCAACCAGATTTAAAGTAGTTAAGATAGAAACAAGAGAACCATTTAAACGTGGACGATGGAGATGTCAAGATACTTTAGATATTCCAGCTCCAGACAAAAGTGACACTAAAATTAATATTGTTGACTCAAATGTTGGGGTATCAAATACTTCTGGTACCACACATAATGTAAGTTCAGTAGAAGACCCATCTAAAAATCCTGCCAAATCTGTGACTGTGATTCAAGGTGAAAACAGGGAAAATTTTCACATTGATAATTCTTCAACAATTCGTCAGACTCAACCTAATAGTCAACTACAAATAGTACAAACTCCTAACTCTAATATACCGAGTAATGTTGCTCAACAGGTATACACACATCCAGTTTCAACCAATTTTCAGAATGGAACAGGACATTCTCAAGCTCTCCCAAATGTGAACAGTTCTCATACCCCTGGTCAAACTACTATGCAAACAGGTGATACAACTTTCATTTATACTGGTCAGATACCTAGTACAATACAGAATATAGCTGGGTCAAATGTAGATAAAAGTTTACAGTACAATAAGGAACAATATGTTGGTAGTGATAATGTGATACAAAATGTAGACAATGCAGAACTTAATTCTGATTCATCAAAGACCAGCGGTGCTCATAAAATGCCACAGAATTCCATGAATATTGAGGTACAGCAAGGGGCAATTCTGACGCCACAGTCTGTCGCTGAAGTTGTTGGAATGATTCCAAGTCCACAGGAAGAAGACAGGTATATAAATATATACATGTACATACATGTAATCAGGTTTAGAAATTAAATACATGAGTAAGTAGTCCTTGGGATTGTTAGAAAATATCAGGACTAATCCTTTTTCATTACTGGTAGCCCAGACACAGGGAGATAGCCATGTGGACCTTGCTACAGGGGGTTAGGGGCATGCTCCCTCCAAGAAAATTTAGAAAAATTAGATACAAAATCCTGCATTCTGATCATGAGTAGCAATAATCATGATAAATGAAAAAAAAAGCTGTTTTTTTTATGGAAAAGGTTTAGAATTTTGAAAAATATCATGAAATCTCGGCTGTACATTTAACACTAAACTTTTTCAGCCGAGGACTGTATATGGCCAATCAAGTTAGTTTGTAAATTCTCATTGTCAAATCTTATTAATTTTTTGAAGAACTTTCTCCAACCTGTTTTGTGTGAACTGACCCAATTTCATTCTAATTTATTTCTTCTGATTTCATTTTTTCTAAAAATAAGGAGTAGAATAGCATAAGATTGTATAAATATATTTTGCTTATTACAGCCATTTTATTCTAGGTCATCTCTTCCTCAATGTCCTACTCGGAAGCTACTCTTGTTCTGTACATGTCTGTTCTGTCAGATTGTCATAAAACAAGTAGTCATACATGTAGTCTATGTCCCTCAAAATTCTACAGATGAATGGCAATGTGTCGAAGTGTTTCACACTGGTTGTGTAAGTGAACCATTAGGATTTTTTTTACTGTTTTCGTTTCGTGTGGTGACCAGATCAATGTAGAAAATGAACATCTAACATTTGTTGTTCTGTTGAACAACAACACAGAATCATGGTCACTCGGTTTTCTGTGAATTTTGAAAGCTTCTCACCGTCTTCTGGTCAAAGACGTTATCCCGCTGCCTTTTGTCAAAAGATACTTTTAATTTTTTTGGTTCTGGTTATCCAACCCTTCTACAAAACTCCACATTTTTTACTTCTGTATTAATTTTTAACATCACTCATCACTGTCATTAGAACTCTTGAGATCATTTGTGAAAATAGTCCTAATATAATGTTTATGTAATCTGTCGTAAAGACGCTTTATTTTAGTATTAGCTGGGGAATGGTAGCTCTTATAACCTTGTATATACATGTATATGTAATATTTGTTTTACGCAGCGGAGGGGGCATTAAGTGTTACCCTTGTCCATCTGTATGTACATGTACATCCCAAAATTAGTTTCAGTTCTCAACCAAATGATATGAAACTTATACACAATGCTTATTACCACATTACACAGATCAAGTTTGAATTTGGGTGGCATCACTTTTACCATTCGAGAGTTATGCCCCATTACAAATGGAAATATTGCTGAATTTTTCGTCTCCGTTCTCTAACTTAAGTTTGCCTTACCTAACCAAATGTTATGAAACTTATACACAATGCTTATTACCACAACACTCAGATCAAGTTTAATATGGGTGACGTCACTTTTACTGTTCTTGAGCTATGCCTTTATCATATTGTATGCAAGAGGGGGTTTCATCTGTGACCCATGGACACATCCTCTTTTTTTTTTTTTATTGTGATCTGCAAATTATCAAAAAATTTGAAGGGACCATACGAACTGCTGGTTGTGTAAGTGAACCATTAGGATTTTTATGCCCCCGCCTTAGCGGAGGGGGCATTAAGTTTTACCCTTGTCCGTCTGTACGTCCGCATGTACGTCCCAAAATTGGTTTCCGTTCTCTAACTTTAGTTTGCCTCAACCAAATGTTATGAAACTTATACACAATGCTTATTACCACAAAACACAGATCAAGTTTGAATTTTGGTGGCATCACTTTTACCGTTCTATTGTTATGCCCCTTTATAAATGGAAAAATTGCTGAATTTTTCGTTTCCGTTCTTTAACTTTAGTTTGCTTCAACCAAATGTTATGAAACTTATACACAATGCTTATAACCACAAAACACAGATCAAGTTTGAATTTTGGTGGCGTCACTTTGGCCGTTCTAGAGTTATGCCCCTTTATAAATGGAAAAATTGCTGAATTTTTCGTTTCCGTTCTCTAACTTTAGTTTGCCTCAACCAAATGTTATGAAACTTATACACAATGCTTATTACCACAAAACACAGATCAAGTTTGAATTTTGGTGGCGTCACTTTTACCGTTCTATTGTTATGCCCCTTTATAAATGGAAAAATTGCTGAATTTTTCGTTTCCGTTCTTTAACTTTAGTTTGCTTCAACCAAATGTTATGAAACTTATACACAATGCTTATTACCACAAAACAAAGATCAAGTACAAATTTGGGTAGCATCACTTTTACAGTTCTTGAGTTATATCCTTTTATAACATTATAGCAGGGGCATCATCTGTGTCCCATGGACACATTCCCCATTTTTTTTACTGTTTTCGTTTCAAGTGGTGACCGGATCAATGTGAATGTAGAAACATAAGCATAAGAACAGCATTACACAAGGATATTGAAATGCATGGCAAACATAATGTTCTTATACATGTACCTTAACAGGAATTGAATTTTGAATTGGCTGTTGTTGATATCAGATTATTTTTTCCCTGAATGGGGATGAAGATTTCTAATAATTTCGATAATTTTAGCACCATGGCAAAGTAAGACCCGGCCTCTAGACATAGGTCTTATGTAATTCACAATTATATATACAATGTACATGTATCACTATGTTATATATTTTAACAGACAATTTCATCTATTTTATAATACATTAATCTTTCATAGTGCCATTTTAGTGGGAGATTCAGGAAGCGTTTTTGAGATAAAATTCACTTTATTTAAATTACATGTACAGGTGTTGAAATACGAAGTATCATGAAGCTCAGAAATATTATTTTTAACTGGATTTTCCGACCAAAATATCTGGTTATTGATTTGGGGGTTGTACAGTGGGTGGGCTTTCAGGCTTGCGGTTCCAGCTGTTTTTGTGCCTTACTTATTAACCATTCAACCAATGCTTTCCAAATTTTGAAATGTAGTTAATGATGACAACATTAGGAGGTATGGTCCTTGATTGATTGGAAAATGGCAGTTTCCTTTTTTTCAATTTCCATGCAATAACTTAAGTACATGTACACTAGTACTACTACAGTCCAACACATGCTTTACAAATTTAATTTGTTGTTACTGATAACAAAATGGAGGAAAAGATTGATTTTGGCGATTTTCACTTTTACCGTTAAGGGGTTATGGACCTTGGTTGATTAGAAAATAATTAACACTTTATTTTATCTCTGTGCAATAACCTAAGAACTGTTCAACAAATTCTGTTCATATTTTAATGTGTTGTTACTGATTACATGCTATTTTCTTTTTTTGGCTTTTTTTTTTGCTTCAACAGTGACACTGCTATTAAACGAAATAAGAACTTGTTAGTGCATGCTATTAGTGTATCAGTGGTAACAATTTTATATGTAGCACTGGTACATTGTACATGTATGATTGACCGAGAACTTAACAAGATATGCCTAACCTACAAAAATGTAAATGGACTAGCACTAGCACATTAATAGTGACCAATGTCCTTTTTTAGATCTTGACAATGGAATTTCTCACTGTAACCTTCATACCAAAATTTATGATAATCAGGTCCAATTTCTTGTCCTGCTATTTATTTTCCTATTCTTGATAATGATGTTGCATTTGCTTAGTACCTTTTCTCAGTTGCAGAAATGTAGTTCGGTATACACATGTTTGTTTCAATGAAGATAATATTTTACTACTAAAATACTTTTGGCAGTAGGGATGTAGGCATCATACATGTAAATTAGTCAAGTTGTTCATCAAATTTTACACAAAATAAATATTCACAAAAGTAGAGGTTTACTGTGGAAATATTTTTCCACTAGAAGAAATTATGTTTTCTACCCCCACATCTCCTTTTAAGGCTTTATTCATAGTGTTGTAGAAGTTCATTCAAATGTGAAAGAAACACCACAATGTAACTCACCCATCCTTTTTAATTATTTTATCCCGCATGTATATGATTATAGATATTTGAATGAATTCATCACAAATGTTAAGAGTTGATAAAGCTTTTTTTTTGAATTTTGAATATTTTGCGTAAGTCATTTGCCAAAAAAATGTAATAAACTGAAATATCTGAATGTATCCACTGCAAGGTTATAAAGAAACTGGGGTATAATACTTTTTGACCCGTCCATTAGTCAATTTTATTTTCTGGATGATAACTGAGAAACCTTTCTTACATGTACATGTAGGTTTTGAATCAAACTTGGAGATATTGTCACATATAATTAAAGTAAGATCCCTATGGAATTGAGGTCAACATGTCCGACAGATGTCAAGGATACTATAACTGACATAAATTAGTGCTGAGAGAAGAAATGGGGGGGGGGGGGGGTATAAATGTGTAGGTTTTTACTTGCCCGTCAGTCATTTTTGTTTGACTGATGATAACATGAGAATCTGTTGGAAATGAAACCAGACATAGATACAAGTTTGGTCACATACATGTATAATGAGAGGAAGATCCCCATTGATCATGAGGTCTACTTTTCCAAGGTCAAGGTCACAGAAACTAAAAAAGACCGAAATCTGTAGTAATGGGTTTATCGATGAAAACTCTTGATTGGAACCAAACTTGGGTATAGGGTCACGTATAATAAAAGGCGGTAAATCCTTATCACATGTGTGCTTTAAGAAGTCTGGTATTTTGATACTAAAATAAAATATTTTTAAACATGTTTCTGTTATTGTGCACAAAAATGAGTTCACACAGTAGCAAATACTTTTTTTTTTTCACAAAAAAAGATAATTTCTAATGAACTATACACACTAAAACTCACATCTGGTTTATTTATTGTTTTCCCAATTTTATTGAAAATAATGTAAAAAATTCCTTCAACTGCCCAGGGATCTTTTCCAATAATTTAAAACCCCTGCAGATACTAAAATAAAAAAGCCCCTGGCATATGACTACAGAAGAGGGATTCAAATGATATTATTGATAAATCAAAAATTTTATGTTTTGTCTGCAGATTGAAATAAAACTTTAAAAACAAGAGAAGAATGATCATATTTTGTAGTCAACACATTGAATTGAATTTAAAAAATAGGCTCCTCAAATTTTTGATGATAATTTGATAACCAAGAATCTTACTAATGTTAAAAGGGTTTGGAATCCAATGTATGTGTACATGTATAGACAGATGTAATGAGAGACTGATCCATATTGATTTTATAGTCAGCCTCTCTGGTTCAAGGTCCAGATACTTGAATATTTGGCATCAGTGAATTCCATTTTAAGTATTTTGTAGATGTAATTGCAATCTAGATCATAGATGTCTCCTAGCAAAATGTAAGGGGCTTTGAGATATGTGAATTTGCTCACCAATGCAGGTTTTTCCCCGATTTTGGCAATAAATCAACCTTGCGACCAATCCTCCCCATTGACTTAATAGTCCAAATATTCATGATATTACAGTTATTGTATCAGAAAGGAAGCATTAAAAGTATACTCAGATGTTGGTTTTTTTAAGAATAGTTAAAATCATTAGGGGATCAAAACAGGTAGTCTGTTGAATTAGTCAACAAGAGAGGGATGGCTTTGTAAAAAAACTGACATCAGTAAAATTGTTTTTTGCTTATTCTATATATTGCAGTGCACTATTTGTATTGTCATAAAAGCCAATTCAGAGGAATCTTAAACATTTGATGTCATAATTGAATTTCTACCAATATTATGAGGAAATAAGATACAATGAACCACACATTGATGATAAAAAAAGTAATCAACCGTTCAGTACATGTACATGTATGTTGGGGAAAGTATAAATCGACCAGAATTTTATAAAAACAATGACACCCATGTCTTATGTTAAAAGTTTGCACAATACAACTTGTGATTAAACAAACTGTCTCTATTGATACTATCTTGATCATGTTGATACAAGTAGATAATTTCAGGTCTAAAAGAAACTTCAGTGCTATTAATCCTCTCACACCAGGTGGACGGTATGTAGAAACTACTAACAACAGTTTCTCACAGGCTTGTTAATAATGAAAAAAAAACTTCCTTTTCAGCACAGATGGCAATCTTAGAACTAAGTTGAAATTTACCATACAAATTTTATTTATGAAAAAGGTGTTGATAAAGTTTAATAAAAAAAAGTTATGGCACTGATTTCCCTGTGTGCATGACTGCGGTCATGTAGGGGTTATATATTGAAATTGTATACCACTATTGCCATCTATTGATAACAGATTCCAAACATAATTCACCAATATTACTTATTAATACCTATAAATTTCTACTTGCATCATGCAGTCTGCACTGTTAGCCACTAGTCGGATGCCACAAACTGGTAAAATTTTATTCGAACTAATAAATATAAGTATTTACAAAACTTTGTTTAGACACATAAGAAAAATGTTGTAATATTGGTCTTCGGGCTAGTAGTTCAACGAGTATTTGGAAAAGATTTTGGTGCAGACTGCTGCTTGTCTGGTTTCATAATTTTGACCAATTGATAATGCATACCATATAAACTTATTAAAGTTGTCATGGTGAAAATAAACTTAGTGTATAAGGTAAGCTTCAAAAGGAAGTTTTTCTGTAAAAAATGTAGCTACAAGCTTTGGAGAGACATATCAGTTTCATTTTATTTTGTCACCTTTTGCATTAATACTCATTTTGACCTTCCTTTCATTAGATTCACCAGTTTTTCCTTATTTAATAGTGCTGCAGTGTACTAATTTAGTCAATTTTGTTTTGTAGGTAAACTTTTTGAATGACTAATTTTAGATAATGTACATGTACAACTTAAGTTTTCCTTATAAATCAATTTACATGTATACATATGAGATAAAGGTCCATCCATCAGTGTTTTCCATTTATATGCAGTGAGCAGTACCTGATAGGGGGTTAATATTTGTAGATCAACAGTTTTATCAAATGTTGATGGTAACTAATCTTTTTGCCATTATTAGTTGTGAAAACTGTTAGACATGTATGCTCATGGTTATAAAAACAAGGTGATGTGGTAAGATTGCCAATGAGAAAACTTTGTGTGCTTCATGTGAGCATGCTATACTGTGTGATGTGTTTCCACATTCAGGGCTCAACTTATTGTTTATAAGGGGATACTGATATATATTCTTACAAATAATGGCAATGTAAGATTTTTTCTCAGAAACTACGAATCAATCAATCAGAGCTCCTTGAAATTTGGTATGACCTTGTTATGTGAACACTGAACACGCATGCTATACTGTGTTTTCATATCCATTGCTCTCCAAAATTCCTGTTTACTGAATACTTATTTGTGTTTGGAAATATTCCCTAGAATTCTTTACAGCATCTGTAACAGCAAATAATCAGTGTCTTTGTCAGGCCCCTTAAAATTTCAGTTGATTTTTTGTATGTATATATATTAAGGAAATTTATACAGGTAGCTGCAGTGCTCAATAAGTTTTAGCATGGAATTAATATGAAATATAATCATGTTGAATCATTTCATCTGCCATGACCTGGATTCTTCTATTCCTGTATCAATTTATAAAGTGGTATATGTATATGTATGCCTGCTTCTATACTTCTTATTGTATACTAAACTTGATGAAGTGATAGATTTTTCAGAAAGTTTCTAAAAGTTAACTTCTTATAGCACTTATCAGATAGATCACAGCCGTTCTTAGCTTATGTATTGTTAAACCAAAAAAATGAAAGATGCTTCTCTCATTTTTTGTTGTAAACTTTAAAATATCTGGTGGAAATAGGGGACCACAAATGGGCAATTTTTTTGGAAAATTGCATTTGGTTTCTTCTATGAACAACCATTATGGCCACTGTATTGTTATTCCGTCTACATGTTAGAATAAATCATGTGGTTAAATTAAAGTAGCCCTAACATGAAATATACATTTATAGCTTTACATATGATATTATATATATTTTTTATTGTTGAATACTGTTGACATCTAGATGACTTTTTGGTTTTATGTGTCTTTGGATTTCGGTGTCATTAAAGAAATAACTGTACTGTAGTTGAAGAGTTTAGGGATTTGAAAGTGGCAACTGCAATTTTACTGGTGGAGCCAGTAAGACAGATACCGGTATTTGCAACCGTCAAATTAAAAATTGACGGCGGTGAACCTTTCAGCTGCAGTACTGTTATTTCTATTCAAATGCATTACAAAAGGAAATAGTACATTAGAGCTTGAAAAAATGTATAAATTTTAAATAAAATAAATATTCGCAAAACTTCATGAAGAATTTTGTCACATAAACGTCATGGCAATACATGTCGTCATTCAAATTTTCTGAAAGGGATTTCTTTACATGTACGATATAAATTTGGATAATATCTCATTTAAACCATGTTTTTTTCTAGGAGGGTGATGTATATTTTTGAGTATATTGTATGAAGTGAACATTTGCATATTCCAAATTTCAATATGTCCATTGTGGATTTGATGATAAATTTTACCCAATGAAAAAAATTGTTTCATAAAGATTGCATTAGAATGATGTATACCCCACATCTGGTTTATTCATATCATATCACATTCAGTTTGAACATTGTAACAAAGTAACATGCGTTGTCGACACAGAAAACAAATCATAATATAATGGCTTTTTTTTAGCTCATCATGATCAGTGCTCAAGTGGACCATGTGAGCATTTGACATCACATGGCATACATCATCAGCTATTTGTCATTAACTTTGTCGGAAACCACTGGCATGACTGGACCAATTTCAATCAATTTTAGCTTATAATTAGTCCACAGCAATTTGCTATCCAACATGGCCACTAAAAATAGAACATAAGGGTAATAATATATACAAAAATGTAAGTAATTGTCTAATGTCTTGAAAATTGTTGTAGAGAAAATCTTGCAAAATTTCTCACAATGTCAAAAGAGCTTCATTTCTTTTTACCAAAATTGTCAGACATATATATATACTCCATAGTAATGATGATACAAATTTTTTGAGCAATTTTTTAAAGTTTGCCTAATAAATAGAAAAGTATAAACTTCATTTATATTATTATCATTTTATTTAATTTAACATAAAAAATGATCTGCAATGGGAATTTATAGCGCCCTTTTAATGGTTTTTATAATTACATATATTTTAGATGATTCTTTTCAAAACTTATAGATAGACAGAAACTGTTGAAAGCAGAAAAGATTCAGCAATACAAGATGTACAAGGAATTATTGTCATCAAATGATGATTTTGTAAGAAAAATAATAAAGCTTCCCTGCTTTTTATCTCTATACCCTCTGTAACCTTTAACTGACATCTTCCAAGAATCATTGCCCTTATGTGATGATATGTGACTATTTTTGATTTTTGTTTACTTCTGTCTGGAAAACTATAATAATGTTCAGAAATTGTAAATTGTAATAATAATCGGGAATGTAGGATCTACAAAGATACCAATGTAAATGAAACCATCAACTGATCCCTTACAAGAATATGCACCCTTAAATGAAGATTTTTTACCAATTTTAGAGTCTTAAAACTTTGTCCCTACAACATTAATAATATTGAAAACTAAAATTGATGGACAGAAACTGGAAATACCAAACGAAATTCAGCAAGATCTACAGATATACCAATTGACTGAAACCCTCAATACTTCTTGTAGGAGTTATTCCCATGAATGATTTTTAAGCCAATTATATATAGCATCTTGAAAACTATAGTACATAGACAAATATTTTGAATACCAAATATACAAGCAATGCAAGATCTACAAAAAATTGTTATGGGTCACCATAATGACTTCTGTTTTAATCCGGGTATCTATGATGAGTTTATTTGTATTCTTTATGAGTTATCAGCATGAAATGAAGATTTTTACCATTTATGACACTTTTTACTACAAACTTGAAAAGTTAAAGAATTAACAGAAGCTGCATGTAGTTATTTCATTATTATATAATTTACCATTAGCAATACAGGATCTACATAGATTCCACAATGTCCGGAACCAGGGGTAGAAATAAGAGGTTTAATACATATATAGCTCTTAAGCTGTCATCACTACAGTAGATGTTTGAGTCTCCTATTGCTCATCTGCAAAAATTGCAGGATGTACTGGAACTCCTGCTATATGATATGTAATTTGTCTCCTGAAAAGTTTTACCTTTCTTGCTTCACCAATGATACAGTTTGTCTCCTGATAAGTTTAACCTTTCTTGCTTCACCAATGATACAGTTTGTCTCCTGATAAGTTTTACCTTTCTTGCTTCACCAATGATGCAGTTTGTCTCCTGATAAGTTTTACCTTTCTTGATTCACCAATGATACAGTTTGTCTCCTGATAAGTTTAACTTTTCTTGCTTCACCAATGATACAGTTTGTCTCCTGATAAGTTTTACCTTTCTTGCTCCACCAATGATACAGTTTGTCTCCTGATAAGTTTAACCTTTCTTGCTTCACCAATGATACAGTTAATGTCCCCTGATAAGTCTTACCTTTCTTGCTTCACCAATGATACAGTTTGTCTCCTGATAAGTTTTACCTTTCTTGCTTCACCAATGATGCAGTTTGTCTCCTGATAAGTTTTACCTTTCTTGCTTCACCAATGATGCAGTTTGTCTCCTGATAAGTTTTACCTTTCTTGCTTCACCAATGATACAGTTTGTCTCCTGATAAGTTTTACCTTTCTTGCTTCACCAATGATATAGTTTGTCTTCTGATAAGTTTAACCTTTCTTGCTTCACCAATGATACAGTTTGTCTCCTGATAAGTTTAACCTTTCTTGCTTCACCAATGATACAGTTTGTCTCCAGATTTTAGTTTGACCTTTCTTGCTTCACCAATGATACAGTTAATGTCCCCTGATAAGTTTTACCTTTCTTGCTTCACCAATGATATAGTTAATGTCTCCTGATAAGTTTTACCTTTCTTGCTTCACCAATGATACAGTTTGTCTCCTGATAAGTTTTACCTTTCTTGCTTCACCAATGATACAGTTTGTCTCCTGATAAGTTTAA